CAAGCAATGGATGCCCTATCAGCTGCTGGCTTTCACCAGCTTTCTGTAATTCGTAGGGGACGCGTGAGTCCTTTCTAGTATGAGTTGTAAAAAAAGATCCAAACTCAAGAAAAATCAAGAGTGGAAATCAAGAGTTGGCCTAGTAAGTCTGCTCTTATAGGGGAAAAAATTTCATTACTCGTTCAGCAAAGAGAATAGAAATAAACCCTGCACATCGGATCCCGCCTACGACGCCGGATGGTAGCAAGAACGATGTCAGGGTACTCAAGGCGCCTTTCGGATTGAACAAAAACGACACGTCTGGCCGGACGACACGCTATGCAGACTGCCTCATGCTCTGCACCTACAACGCCAGGACAGTCTCCACAAATGCCGACCTTCACACTCTTCTCGATGCTGCAGAGCACATCAAGTACCACGTCATCGCTCTGCAGAAAACGAAGTCCAGAAGGACATGCGACAGATGAATGATGGGACCCTCATGATTTGTGGTAAAAAGATTCCATCACGAAACGTGGGAGGCGTCGGCTTTGTCGTCCACCCATCTATCGTCCATCTTGTCGATTCGCATGAGATCCTGTAACCTCGACTAGCCTCCTCCGACTAAGACCTCCACGTCAGAAGACTATCAGCATCATCAATTGCTACTCGCCAACATCAGCAGCTGACGACTCAGAACGATGCTTTCTAGAAGACGTGGAGGAGGTCGTCCGTAACGAAAAGTCCTTCTACAAGTTCGTTGTGAGCGACTTTAACGGGACGCCACTAGAAGAGGAAGGGTCAGGAAGTTTGGATATAGGCTCCGAAATGAAAACGACAACCGTCTCGTTGGGCTTCTCTCCTCCGCACGACTTTTCCATGGAACATCTTCATGAAGAAAGAACATCGCCGGTGGACTTGAGAATCGCCCAACGGAACAACTCACGCGGAGACCGACCACATTCTCATCAACCGAAGGGGAGCTTGCTCGATGTCTCAGGAGTTCTATCCTTCTGTAGTGGCTCCGATCACCGCCTCCTTCGAGCGAAGATACGATCCAGTCAAAAGCTGGAAAAAAGAGCTGCCACAGCGCCGCAAGAAGGAAAGAAGTCGTTTATGACGGTAACAGGTTAGAAGAGCTCATATCAAGTTGTGATTGGCCCATCGAGGAGGACCCAACGTACGACTACGACCGGCTTCTGAAAGGATTGCGAGCCTGCGGAGAGTGCGCCTCAGTGACTTTTGAGAAGAACTTGGAACGCATTTCGATGACCACCAGGGAATTGCTCGAAAGAAGAAAATTTCTGAGGCAGGATCCGAATGCAATCCCTTTCGAGCGACTGATAGCCAACGCCAGTTGCAGAACATCTTTGCAAGAGGATCTCAGGAAGTACAGGCAAGCTAAGATACTGGAAGCAGCCGAAGGAAGACGAAGTCTCAAGAAGTGCCGAAGGGACCTCTGTGAATCACGTACCGCTGGCTGCACTACTGAACAAAGACGGGACTCCAACTTTTCCCCGATACAAGATGGAATCTATCGCAAAGAACTTTTACACCAAACTCTTCCGCTCATCAAAGCCAGTGCAGATGTCCGTTGTTCCCACTGGAGAAGTATCACCAAGATTCTACCTGCTGAAGTGCGTATCGCGATACAGACCACGAAGACGTCCACGGCTCCAGGACCAGATCACCTTCCCGTCGAGCTTCTGCGAGCCGGAGGACACCGACTACACGGGTTCTAGCGTCGCATATGACATCTTACCTTCAGAAGGAGAAGATTCCCGAACAGTGGAGAACATCAAGAACCCGTCCTTCTTTTTGAGAAGGGCGAACGGGAGTCTTCGGAACTACCGTCCAATATGCCTGCTGAGTATGCTCTACAAACTTTTCACGAAGATTATCCTCGCTCGCATATCTAGGACACCGGTGAAGCTCAACCCCAAGATCAAGCTGGATTCCGCAAGGGATCCAGCTTGTTCTTGGGGTTGGGCTTCATCCAGTGTCCTAGATATACGGACCACATCCAGACTGTTTCGAGGGTCATAGAAATCTACCGGGAGTACCAACTGCCTCTCGTCCTAACCTTCGTCGACTACGAGAAAGCTTTTGACAGCGTCAAAACCAACGCCATCTTGTCTGCGCTAGTCGATCAAAGAGTGGGCCCAGCTCACGTGAGGACACTAGCCGACTGCTACAAGGACTGTGCCACAACGATGCAGCTATTCCATCGCCCCTGACCATTCCGATCGGGAAGGGGGTTCGACAAGGCGACACTATTTCGCCGAAGCTGTTCACCGCGGCTTTACAGTGGGTGATGAAATCACTGGACTGGGACGAGAGAGGCATACGAGTTGATGGAAGATTCCTGTCCAACATTCATTTGCGGACGACATCGTTCTCTTCTCGAGCAGTATCACTGAAGCAGAGACGATGCTGAAGGAACTGAACGAAGTAGGGAAGAAGATCGGATTGCGAATACCTAAATCGGAAGAAGACTCAGTTCATGAAGAACGTCCTTTGCAAAGATGCGGAAATGGAATTGGAAGGCACCCCTATTATGGAGACGTCTTCTTACCTGCATCTCGGACGTTCCATGAACATGGAGAACGACTTGAGGGAAGAACTTAACAGGAGAAGAAAAGCAGTCTGGGCCGCCATCGGGCCTTTGAAGGAAGCCATCGACCAACTGACGGACCCGGAGCTTCGTGCCCACGTTCGACTCAACCGTTCTCCCGGCGCTCTGTTACGCAGCTGAGACTTGGGCTGACACCATAGCCACTTCGAAAGCTTTGAGGACCACCCACAAAGCGCTAAAGCGTAGCCTTCTGAAGATGACCCGACGAAAGCAACATCTAGTCGGACTTCGCAGTACGGATATGAGAAGGTTGTCCCGTCTTCGTGACCCAGCGGAATACATTGCGAAAGGGAAACACCGATGGGCCGGTCACATCATGAGAAGAACAGACGACAGATGGACACTAAGAACGTCTGAGTGGATTCCTCGCGAAGCCAAACGTCCCCGAGGAAGACCACCGACGAAATGGGCAGACGTGTTCGTGGAACGGATGGACCAGCTGAGAAATCAGCTGGATACGATTTTGGCACCTGGAACTCGTGGACGCAGCCATCGACGTCAACCAAGAAGATCGTGGATGTCTGAAGCGAGGAAAGGGACAAATGGAGACTCTTGTGCTGGAGCCCGCGCGCCACGTCAAGACGGGCCATCTAAGTACCCTCGACGTCAATCCCTAAGTTACATTTGCAAAGTGGAGTGTTGTGGTGCGGCCGCCTCGCTTTGGGCTCGCGCCACCTTGCGAGCGCATGAGTTGGCATGGCGTGGCAACAGGAGCAACGAAGAAACGTCGCTTTTGTTGCCACGTGTGAACATGCTGTGGCGCCACGTTGTTTTTAGCGCCACATCACGTCTAAACGATGCCCCAGCAACGTGGCGCGAGCGCAAAGCGAGGCGGCTGCACCACACCACTCCACTTTGCAAATGTAACTTAGGGATTGACGTCGAGGGTATCTAGTAAGTAGGTAAGTATAGATGTCGACAAACATTTAAAAATGTAGAAGAATTTTTTTTTAAGAATTCACGATTTTCATTTTTGGGTCAACTAATCTATAAATAAATAAAACTTAATTTCTGTAAATTTGTTCGTATGTAAATATGTGGCTTAGAGACTCCTTTGTTTGTGAACCGATGAGGCTGAAATTTGCTCCCCTATAAATGAAGCCAGACGCAGAAGATATGCTACTTTTTGCGACGATTACTGGGTCCTTATATCGATTTATTGATTTGTATACGGACATCTAGGGAAATGAAAGCTATATCATTCATTTTCTCCAAGTGTAGTAAGGGGCGGTAGAGATCATTTACATTTTGCGGTGAGGAGGATGCGGTGTCACGAAGTGAGCCGGTCAAGAAGGACAAATTCACCACGGATACTACACGTGTGCTGGAACTGACTTGGAGCAGAAGCAGGAGAGGGAGAGAAAATATGATCTCAAGGAAGTGGAGGAATGGTAAGCAAACATTGAAGCAGACGGGCCATTTTGGACCCTTGGCCCGGGCGGGACCGGGGACCGCAGCTAGTGTGGAATAATACCGAAAAATGTTTGTTGCAGCGAAATCGCTGACACCAACATAATTTTCTTTCAGCGTGGCATCAAATAACAATGACTGCGCTGCGTCTTGCTGAAGCAGAACGTTCGGCTAGTCTGGCGTCTATCAAAGGGTTCACTGCCAAGATTGATGGGGTTTTTCTCTTTTCTTCTCAATCCAGGGAAGACTATTGCTTTACGGTCTCCTGTGGAAGGGATGCTATGGAGGTGGGGGGGGGGGGGCAGATAGTACATTACTCGTTGCCATAGTAACATTGCGGAGGGAGTACTGCTCAGACAATTCTGCGCGCAAGCGGCGCGCACTCACTGCCAGCAGGGCAGGCGGCGGGCCGTGATTTGTGGGCGTGACCTTGCACCGCAGAGGCGGCGCGCACTGATTTCAGCCAACAGGCGGCGCGCGATGCATGTTCGCAGGCGGCGCGCAGACACAGTGTGCGTGCAGGCGGCGCGCAATGAACTTTCTGTAGCATCACGTAAGCGAAGGAGGACGCTGCTTTCGCGCGCAAATGCAGAATTTTTTGCAGATAATCGTTTCTCCTCGTTCCTCCTTGTTTTTTGTTCATACAATGTACATATTATGTTGTTTATTATCTCACTTTTACTCTGCTGTTTCACCTCTTTTTCTGTTTCTAAACTGTTTTGAAATCAAGTATGCGATTTTTTTTTGCCTTTTTGTAGCACGTCCTCTTTTATTTAATCCAAATCCACTCTTGTTTCTCAGTCAGTCTTCCATATCTTTTATCATACCTCTGGTTCTTAATCATATTGACCCCGTGACACAGGGACGCTCATTTTCAATCAATAACGCTTTCTTGCGTCGTTGCGCCTCCTTCGTTTCTTTCCGTCGCCATTTCTTTCTCTTCTTTTTTCACAAGATAAAAGCAATGTTTGATTCAGGTCACAACTGCCTTAGTACAATGATGGCTATGTGCGAATGCCGAAAAAAAAGTCGACGTCAAAAGAGTAAGTCTTGCTTTTTGAAGCCAAAGTAGGCATTTTGTTTAAAATCATTATTGTGTTTCAGCCACCAATCTACAATGACTCCAAATACCAAGAATCAAGACAATTTATGGTCGTGGGACCTCAGCCCTGACTATTTATTTTGAAGAGGTGAAAAAATGCATTTTTTCTGCATTCGTCAAAATTTGTTTTTTCTCTTCAGTTTGTTAATAGTGTGTATTTCAGCGCCTAAACCGACTGATGGAATCAACTCTTGATAGAACAAAAAGCATTACGAGAACTAACGAGGACGAGGCTGATCCAGATTATTCATGTCTCATCGTTCATCCCAATTTTCATGCCTATACCCATCATATCCCCGTCATCCAATTGTTTTATTCCTGTAATTGAATTGGGTATATGAAATCCATGAGCATTTAATTCTGGCTTATCATCTCGTCATACTGTTGCATTCGTTACTATCAACTTCATTGTATTTATTACTTCATACACACGTCTTGTTGATATCACATTTGAATGTAAATACGTTGTTGATGTTGACTTTGAAATGTCTGTGAATTTTGTATGTACTACCTAAGCTAATAGTATTGAATGCCAGCTGTCAAAGACAGCATTATTCTGTAAATACTGTATTTTTGTTGCAATTTGTGTTAAAACCCTGTCAAATTTGAAAATTGTATACATTATTCGTTAATAAAATAGTTGTGAAACCACATTGTCCAACAAGCATAAGATACTCAGATCGACAACAAAAATCCGAGCAGATTCCTGCCAAAATTTTTCTCGTAGCGCGCAGGCGGCGGACCTTCAATCCATAGGCGGCGCGCACTGCACACACAGGCGGCGGGAAGGCACATCGCTCGCTGATTCAGTGCGCGCCGCCTGCGCGCAGATTTGTCTGAGTGATGGAAGCTGAGGCCTGTACTGCTTGACGTCGCGTTGCGACATCGTCGCGAAGAATCGTGACTGCTGACCCCCCCCCCCCCCCGCTACACGCGTGGACGAGTTACGCTAGAGCAAATGCGCGAAATCTGTGAGTTTGACTAACGGTCGACGGTTGGTTACATTCGCTAAAATACGTTTCTTTTTGTAATGTCTTGTCCTTTTGCTGATTTTAATCATGGCCAATCACAAGAGATGGTTTCTGAACGACGAGGGGGGGGGGGGGAGGGGGGATCGCCATGTGGTCCTTTAGTATTTTGCACATAGCCTTTACCTCTTTAGAGGGGGGGGGGGGGACAGCTAATATGAACGATAGTTGTGAGTGAGCCGTATGCGTTGGGAAGGTCAAGTATTATTCAGATCCTATTACCCTGTGTTGATATCTAGGAATTCGAAAAAAAACGCTGGGAGCTTGGTATACCTTAGTTCTTACTGTTCAACACCATTTTCAACTCAGTGAAGAACATTCTGCTTCCAAAAAATAAGACTTTAGGCGCGGTATATTGACCTTTTGAGCCATCCCTCTCAGAAAATGTGAATCTTCACTCTCCATTTTCTAACTCGAAAGTACCTATTATTCATCATGAATGTGCAAATAGAAGACTTGAGTGTGCTTTGCACTCATTGTCTAAACAAGCTCAATCGTATAGTCAACACTTGTGATTTAGACTTGATCTTATGTCAGAGACTTACAATCAAAAATAGGGAAGAACAAGCTCAAGCATGTCTAGAGGATGTATGCAAAGCGGTCTTGAGTTTCCTTGCTCAGAATAGATGATAATTCTTCTTCTTACTTGAAGTGATAGGCGGTAAACCGTTATCGTGCTGCTCCGCCAATTACTCAGCGTTTGCTTCACAATATTTCTGTCCAAAGCCGTAGAAAGTTATATCATTGAGCTCGAAACCCTTGTGTGACTGAAATCCTGAAATACGTTCAGACTGAATCCCCTCGTCCCTCTTCCCCTTCTCCATCTCCCCCGTTGTCCTCATTAGCACCAGAATATTTTCAGTGCTGCCATTCTTATTGCCTTCCATTAATTGTCGCTATCACTGCGAATTCCAGCTTTGTTCATTTGACGCTCTTATATTGCAGGACTTCCCATTAGAATGATGAGTAACGCCACCGGGCAAAAGATGTATGGGAGCACACCGATAATGATAAAGCAAGAAGTAAGCTCATTGAATTTTCAGGGTCCTTATTTTACTGAGGCGAGATTCTGCTCTATTTTTTCTTGAGTATAAAGGCGTATCATCGCAAGTGAATTGGGAGCTATGGTAGTCATCGTCGCTCAATGGAAAATTTTCGCGAGAGTCGAGAAGGCCTCGGGCACAGTTCACGCGATTTCATCGTCGCGATTCATCGCTACAAGTCGTGTGTTACGCGTTTGTTTCATGCTGATCATCTTGCATTTCGGTTGTGATAGTTCTCCAACACGACCAATCGTGGCTAACTATCACAACTGAAATGCAAGAAGAACCATGCAATGAATCGTTACACTTGTCTTGTCGCGATCAATTGCGAGATGAAATTGCGTGGACTCTGCCCGAGGTCGAGGGAGGCGAATAAGTCACAGTGCGTTAATGGAAAGCTAGTTCTCTATCTTCATGTTTTCGGTAATAGTGATGGTGACTGTATCATGTACCGAAACCATAAAAATAGAAAGGTTTGAGATGTATTGTCGATTTATTGACCGCACGGACTGCTCATAAGCGGACCACACGCGCGGCGGCTGAATTGTCGGGAGCACGACTTGTACTATAGCGAGTTTGTACTGGGGCAAGGGTTTTACCTTGCGGCGCGTGCTCCGCAATGATGTCCAGTCCGTGCGGTCAACGAATGAACTATACAGCAATTGATGTCGAACAGAGTTTCTTTATTCTTGAGAGTGTAGTTGTTACTCGACATCAGGTTGTTGTCGCCTAAAATGTTGGAAAAAATGTGAGTCGAAAGTCGATAATATGTTTAGAACTACTCAGCAATTGAATCGCAGGGTATCAGCTATCCTATCCGAGCCGTGCCGAGGCGACAAGTCCATCCAAGCGCTTCAACGAAATATCCTGAAGTTCGAGTTGCTTCGTGTTTTAGGTGAGTATCAGTCTCGTAAAAATTTACCAGATACCCATCTCTATGTTATACATTTTTCTCACACTCTTGGCACCCGCCATACATTCACTTCGCTATTGGTCAAATCATTGACCGCAAAGAGGAGCGGAACAAGTCGATCAAATATGGCGCGTGCTTATCTGTACGAAATTTCTATAATTCCAGGCCTAACGACCTTCTTGGGGTTGATTTACCCGTTGAGAACAAGCACATGGTTGATAGGTCAATGGGTCTTCGCCATTTCTCTACGAAAGTGTGCGAGAAAGTCAAGGAAAAAGGTCGGACAAACTATAATCAGGTACTGTTTCTCACTTGCTCAATTTTTCGATCTAGTAGAGGTCGACATTACTATGTACGTCATTATCTCCAAACAAGTCAATCTCTCTTTTTGAGGTCGCTGATGAACTTGTGGCAGAATACTTCGCTGCTAATAACATGAACTCCGAAGAATTCCTCGTATGTCATTCGTCCAATAGGATCTCAAACTTAGAAAAGCATTTATAGGAAAGGCAGAAATTTGATCAGAAGAATATTCGGCGTCGAGTTTATGATGCATTGAATGTGCTACTGGCTATGAATATCATATGTAAGAGAAAGAAGGTACCTAAAGTCGGCAATTTTTTCTTTAATCTAGATCTATAACTGCGAAAGAGTTGGAGCAGATATCATTTGTTTTGAATGCCTGCCTGAAGAGTGCATTTTATGCTTAAGTGATAGGTATCTGGCGCGCTCCTCTTTCCATACTTTTTGAGTGCTTTTGTAATTGGAGCCAGTTTCCCACATTTCTAGCTATCAGTTTACTTACCTGAAGATCATTAGTGAATATAAGATAAAGGACAGCTTCATTTAGGACATAGATTGGGTTGGATTGCCTGCCACAAAAGCTGGTGAGATCAAGCGCTACGAGGAAGAACGAGTAAGCATACCTATCACATTTGTTGCTCACGACAGCTTTACCTTAGGCGAAACTGCAAGAGCGCATACGGCGAAAAAAGGAAACCATACAAGAACTTATTGTACAACTCGTCGCATATAAGAGTTTAGTCTGGAAAAATCGTGAGCTGGAAAGGTAAGAAGTTGTGAGTGTTTGTGTCCGAAAAATTTGTGTTCATCTGAAACATAAAATTTAGAATACGTATACCTTTTTATCACTTGTAGCATTCGACTTCCACGCTTTCGAACTCATATATCTCATCTGTCTATAAAGAAATAGAATGAAGCATCTGTTACAGAGAAAATGGTCGACCATCCGAAAACTCAATACTTTACTTACCATTCGTTATTATTAATACTTCAAAAAGGTAAAGTTCAAAGCGCATAGGTAATTTAAGTGGCAGTTTGCCTTTTCTTTCAGCACTACTGTCGACTGTGCAGTTTCTGGAGACAGATCAGAGTTTCTTTTTCATTTCGATCAACCATTTGAGGTTCATGATGATTTTGAGGTAGTTTTTGTCAACCCCTCTGTGAGCTCTGCGAGTCTTACGGTCATTTCAACTTGAACGAAACCTGCTTAGGCACTGAAACGACTAGGTTATTCATACGGTTTGGAGCACAATACGTTGAATCCTGACATGTTGGAACATATTGATGAATTCATTCCTCCAGCCCTTCGTGGATATCTGCCAAAAATTCTAGGAGGTTCGTTTGTATCTGGACTTTACTTTTATTTATAATATAGGAATTCTGTCAATCAAGTACTCCCTTTTGCAACTATGCATTCGCAACATGTGGGCTTTGTGGACCCTAGCTGATGAGGTGACGCTATTGACAGAGGCAGTGCATCAGCTGCACCCACGGGGACTTTCTTTGTCTTTGATGAATATTGGTTTTTTAGAATTTTTCAAATATAATATGCTCAGTCCATACGCGGTTGAACTTTGCGCAAAACTTCGGTGAGGCGATTGCGCCGAAAAAAGGGACTATGCGATTGACAGAAGCAGTGCATCAGCCGCACCCGCGGGGACTTTCTTTGTCTCTGATGAATATTGGTTTTTTTGGAGTTTTCAAATATAATATATGGTAATGCCATTTAGGAGAGATGTCAGATTGGGAATCAAGAGCAAGGTCATCAAATCCACCAACAGTACAATATGTTATACGCGATCCATCCGTTAGCGGGCGACAGTAAGTTTCGGTATCTGTTATGGTTTGGAAATCAGTGGACACCTAAACGATAAAAATGGAATTTTTAAATAGAGAAATTTATTAGTTGCTTCAGCTTCAAAATTAATGTGACTATTTAGACATGCTTCACTGTTTGAACAAAGTGCTTCCGATCACTCCAGTGATGGATCCTATGTAGAACTGGCGCAGCCGGTGTACACCGCTCCCGGTTACGCATATAATCTGCCTGCTTATGAAACCGAAGTGGGAGAGGAAATGGAACTAGTGGAACAGCAAGAGTATGTTTACGCAATGCCTGGAACAAGCACCAGCTATGAAGTTGTGGATGCGAGCACTGTCGATCGTTCGCGGTCTGTAGTCATGGTGCGATCGCCTTCACTAGCTGGGGGTGCCTCTACCAGTAGTGTACCCACATACGCATTGGAACAGCCTTCCAGTTCTAAGGTTGGTTCTTTTCGCGAGCGTGTCATTTGGTGCCCATGAGCTGGTGGGTTTGAATTACTGAAACACAGAGGGGTTTCGCTTTTATCGACAAGAAGAACTTCTCTGCACGTTTCTAGATGTTATAGTTGTAACGAGCGGAAATCGTCGAATGAACGAATATCGAATAATTGATTTTAGAAAATGTTACGAGCGAGTGAGTATCGAAATTTTCGAAAAATTCTCGATCGATCGAATTTATTCAGTTTCGATGTTCATGTCATTCGAATTCGAATATTCGGGTATGGGCTCATCTCGAAGTTTGAATTTTCGAATACCCGCATTACTGAACTTGATCAAATATTCGACTATTCGAATAATCGAATTACTGGATATAACGAATATTTGGGATTTCGAATGCAATATGCAAGGAAGTTCGCATATGAAACATGCAGATAAAAACACTAACATTCGAATTCGTACTTTTCTCTTGCTTGAGTATCCAAGTAGTCGAACAACGGTTTTTTTCTCCCTCGAATATTCGAATGAATGTCTCAAGTTCTTTGAATATTCAAATAAACCATTTTCCAATTGCGCAAATGAATGAATATTTGAAGGTCTTTTTCATTAATTAGACTATTTAAATAATCGAATGAATTTACTTTCTCGAATAATCGGATATTTCGAACAAATTATGCAAGTGTGATTATTCAGTTCCAACTGACTAGATGCTCTGCCAATGCTCTTTCAGGCTCCATCCAGAGCAGTTAGTGCAAAGAGACCAGTTCCAGTTGCAGCAAATTCTGGATACAAAAAAGTTGCCAGCGATGTCCAAAATGACATAGTCTATGCACAGGTATGACTTATTTTTAGTTGCTCCCATCCAGCTTTTGAGCATACTTTGTCGTTCAGGCAGCTCCTCAGAGCAAACGTCTGAAAACGCAAGCAGAATACAGCTTATAGTCAACGGTCCTAGCTTAGATATTTAATGCTTATTGTCACGTACTTATATAGTGGTTCGACGCTACTTGATTTTTTAGTTGGGAATTTCTGCCATAATGTAAAAATAACTAAAGTCACTCTTTCTTAGACCTCTTTTTCTGATTCTCTTACAATTGCTTGCCTCATGTGTTCATGCTTGATTTGGCTAATCGAATCGTACTACTCCATTGTTATTCGGCGTGTGTCCTGTCGTATCCCTTGTTTGTTTGACATATGGCTTTTGATCTTGACAATTCTGATTTCTGAAGGAAGACGTTTTTTTACGTTACGCATATCAGTCTCAAATAAAATCCATTGTTTTGAGAGAGTCAAACTGAGCAAGCAAGATCATAACATCGGTGAAGCCGTTAATACTGATAAATACATAGGAATTTCGAGATGCGGCGTTTGTTGCGAGCAGTCACGCACTGTTGAGTTGCGGCGCATACCTAATCATCTCCTAACGACTTGTGAATTTACGCTCTTTCAGCACTTCAAGAACTTTCACTGATATCTGTCTTGCTTTTAATGGTCTCCTTCGCCATATGTATGTGACCGAAGTTACTATTCAGTTGCGAGAGCTTGATAATGAAAACGGTGGAAGCGGCCGGCAACACATTCCAATATGCAGAGCTGAATATCAGACATGTTGGTAACGCCGCGAAGACACTTGCTATGGTAAAACGCGCCATCCGGATGGGTTATGACACTGTTGCTATCAATATAGATATTGGCGACATCGTACCTGAGGAAAATATTGTTAGTAAGCAAATTCGTTTTCGTTTCGTTTACCATCGAATTTAGGAAGAACATATGCTACCGCAGTCGGGTACAGAAGCCCCAAACAAGCCTCCACCAAAGAAGAAAGCGCGGAAAGGCGACGACAGAAAAGTTGGTCGAGTATTTTAATCCATATGGATATGTTTCAGCAATTTTTAGGGTCGAGAACAACAACTGCCGGAACCTTTTCTTGTAGATGAGTCTCTGTTGGATCTCTCCGATTTAGAACAACGAGGAAAGAAATTCAGGCAATTCAGGTGAACACGCTGTGATATCTCGAGTTCTATGAGCACAGTTGTTTAGCCGGATTACTTTCACCCTTAATGATGCTACAGTTATCCATAACGTTTTCAACAATCCTCGATTGCGTCAATTTGATCTCGTGGCAGTCCGTCCAGCAGATGTGAGCATACTAACGACACTTACAAGAAAAACAGATGCTGTTGATATAATTACGATGTATCCCGAAACTCACGTAGGTAGATGTCAACCGCTTCAGCTAATTCCAATCAATCATAACTGATGGGGATCTTCTTAGGTATCTTGGTTACATAAGGCAAAGTTCATGGAAATGATTCGTGTCGAAGGCGTTGGTTTCGAAATTACGTATGCTCCGGCACTATTTCCAGCAAATCGGAGATCGGTAAATTTTTCCGCTTCAGATATTGAAAAGTTCAGGAATTCAACATTTATTTTGCTTAGGTTTTTATCATATCAATAGGCTAGTCAGTAATTAGGTTTTCGTCGTAATCTTGCACTAGTGAACTGCCTTATCCCCTCTACTTCTTTGATAACTTTTCTGAGTCGTTTTGTCTTCAGTTTTCTTGTCACTTACAACTTTGTAGTGTCTGCATACTGGACGGTTTCTTCTACGTGGTCTTCGTGGCCGTGGCGTTGTTATGACAAGTGGTGCCTCTTCAATGAGTGACTTACGTGCACCGGTGGATGTTATGAATATGGCACTGCTTTGGGGAGTGTCCGGTGCAGACGCCAGACTTATGATTAGCGGTATGTTATATGAGTTTGTTCTTCAGCTTTTCACATCATTATGAAAATTTGCGAATTAGCTCACAAGGGAATGGTCGGAAGTCGAAGTGGCCGATCAAGCAAACTATCAACCATTTGATGCACTATTCATCGCTGATTTCGAATCTGCATTCCTAATCTGCGTAGCGCCTTTGTGAACGAAGTTATGAGCAGTTTTATTGCGAACTGAGCACACAGTTGCACCTTCAGCTCACCTTTGGGCTTCATAAATATAAAGTAACCTAGCTGCATGCTTTAGCCCAACATTAAGCCAAAAATGGCTCTATACTGCCAAATTTGAGCTTTGCATGCACGACTGCTTAGCAAAATAACGTATGCAAAAGTGCCCCCCTCCCCCTCAATTACAACATCGCGCTAATGCGAGGTTATAACGTCCGACGCAAAGCAGAAAAACAATCGGAAAGTGGGAAAACTTAAGCTTGGGGGGGGGGGTCCTCCATCTGCTTAAATTCCTGCTCTGCGGCAGAGTACGCATGCCGCCATAGTTAAAATCTAGGATATCGTAGTGACTTTACGTCTCAGCCTTGGCGGGGACCGTGAATTTGACTGTAAGGCTTTGGAAAACGCATGTTCTCGCCGCTTTCGCGCCTTCTAATGTGGATTTTTGGATTCAGCGATGCGGATAATCCCCGTACGTAAATTTTCTAAAAATCGAGTTTCTGCCTTTATAAGTTTTCCTATATACTACTCCGCAGGACGCGGCCTGCGCCGCTGCAGTCGCAGTGAAAATACAAGCTTGTTCGCTGTGAAGGCACACTCTGAAGAACGCGAACGTCAGCAAATATAGAGATAGATACATCCATAACCGGCGAAGCTATGCTGCCGTGAGCGTATATCTCCACTGCGACCGCCGCATGACGCGGCGTGCTGCGGCATAGTATGAACGAACCCTATGGCTCATATTCGCACGTATAGGCGCCAAGCAGATATGGTATACAGATTCGAAGTCACCGTTAATGCTGCATTCAATGGTCTGTAGCTTGTTCGGATTGGCCACTTCGATTGGGCCCAGCTGAAATAAAATTGCATGTTAACTCAGGGGAAAATTGCGGTAAGTTGACCCCAAATGCATTTTTCTCTCAATGAGTGAGCTTCATTTTCTCTGTTCCTGGTTCAGTTTGTAAAGCTCTATTGATATATACCCCAGTAATGTCCAGTTATTTTGAAACACGTGATACTGTTGTTTAGAGACGAAGTCCTTGTTCTATGTGAATTTGATCATTTTTTGTTTGTTTTAGGGAATGCTAGACAAATTCTACTACGAGCCGAAGCGCGCCGTACTGTTGGTGGTGCACTGCATATGGCACCTGTGGAGTTATGGGAAAACGAGGAAGGTGGTAAAAGTATAAGTGCAGATGTCCCTTCTTGTCGGCTTACCAGCGCTGGCGCCTTACAACGGCTCCTTAACGTCAAGGAATTTCGCGCAAAGGTATCTAGCAAGTTTAGTTTTACTTTTACACTTTTCCTTTCCTTCTCGATTACCTGAAAGTTGTTGCTTTTAGGTTGAGGTCGTAGCAATAGAGACTAAAGGAAACACTGCTGATTCCAGCTCCTGATATGGTTATAGTTGATTCCTTTGGTTGTTTCTAGTATGTTGTTGATTTTTTGCAAGCTGTTGTCTCTGTTGTCAGTTAAAGTCTACGTTCTTAGCGCGTAAGCTTTCATGAGTACACCTACCGCTCAAACATCCTATATATTCTCCTGCGTTTTTTTTTTTTGCTTCGAAAATGAATTTCAGCATGAAATGGTTGGAAAATCTCAAATTATGGTACGCATGGCGAATTCGCCGTTTTTTCCGAATGAGAAACCAGACAATAGCTCCTATCCAGTGGGATGAGCCTTTGCTGAAAGCATTACCTGATAGGACTCTTGGTGGTAGATTAGACAGAAGAGAGATTCAAAAATTTGATTCTATTGTGCGCGAGGTCAAGGTCAGTGCGATAGTGTCCTTTATTTGTCATTCATGCAGTAAGGTTTTCTTCAGACAATTTCTATGTTGACTAAGTACTTCCCCTCGAAGATAACAGATGAGGATTGGCAAATCTTGCTTGAGTGCCAAACAAGGAAGCAGAGATTCGACCACATAAAGTTTCTTCGAAGTCGAGAGCTGGAGAAAGTCAAAGATCTGGAGAAGAAACGGGCAAAAGAGAAACTTCTTGAGAAACTTAAAAGACCTAGAGCGGTTTCGAACAACCATCCTCCTCCCTTATACTATCCTGCTACAAAATTGGGTAGATTTGGTATTCGTCAAACTGATTGTTTCGCTATTGGGTTCGTTTTTTGAGTGAAGGATCAACGTCGTCATCAATGGCACAAGGTGGCCATCGCCCACCTGTGTAACGCTCCTCGTATAGTAATAGACTGTCGCTTCCTACCTTTGCTCTCACCTCGAGGTGCAGAACTGACTGCGGTGCAGCTGAACTACCTCATTAGCGAGAATCGTGATAGCAAGTGAGAAGGCGTTTCGATAAGGTTTGCATTTTGCGATATTTTTCCAGAACACCATGGCAAGTGTACTTTGCGAACTTTGATCTTTCATCGAAACGAGTTCGGCGTCTGCAGCAGAAGTGAGTATCATTCCAAGTATAGCATCATTTCCGTAGATATAACTACCACAAAGGGGTAGTCCGCTACACTGAGGGCGAAGCTGACAAGGAAAGTCATCAGGTAACTTACAAGGGAAGGATGATCGGTCGAAGTGGCCATTTGGAATGAGCTGTATACTAGGAAACCGTCCTCGGCAAGGCAAACTCAAAACTACTTTCGCTAGTTGCCGAGTGGTTTTGTATGGCGAGTTACAAGGCCGTTTTTCTCCGGCGCAGCCGGCGTACCCAGTAATGAGCGAGACGCTAAAACACTGTGTCGAGTATGGCAGTGGCGCAGTGGCAAGGAGTCGGATTGCGAAGCAGATGGTCGAAGGTTCGATCTGTTGATGCGGTTTTGTTTTGCAGTTTTGTAAAAGTCTTTTGAGTGACAGTAAACGAAAAATACTCATTGCTACGCAGTTGAAACAAGCTATTTACTGCAAAAAAGGCATTATTCCAACAATAAGCTATGATCTTCTATAATATGTAAATTGTGGGGGGTTATGATGTTACAACAATGGATTTCAATGATATATTAACACGTATGGAATACAACCACAAAATGTTCAGAGCATAAAAGCTCCTCCCAGCGCGCGCACATGCAAAAATGCAATAGGATAGGTACAGGGTCGCGACCGCGTCGCGCCCGGGCATCAATGGCGCCGCCTCGATCGATGGCGCCGGCGCCGGCAAAATGCACGGGCGCGACGCGGTCGCGCGACCGCTGGTGCATACGACTCTGCAATTTAGGAGCCCTATAACTAGTAAGTATCTTGATAGGTAATGAAGCTGCTGATTGCAATTGATTACATTTTTGCAAGTGCGCGCTGGGAAGAGCTTTTATGCTTTAAACATCTTGTGGATGTATTCCATACGTGTTATATTATTGAAATCCATTGTTGTAACATCATAACCCCCACAATTTACATAATGTAGAAGATCATAGCTTATTGCAGGAATAATGCCTTTTTTGCAAAAACCAGCTTGTTTCAACTACGTAGCAACGAGTATTTTTCGTTTACTGTCATTCAAAAGACTTTTTACAAAACTGCAAAACAAAACCTCATCAACAGATCCGAACCTTCGACCATCTGCTTCGCAATCCGATTCCTTGCCACTGCGCCACTGCCATACTCGACACAGTGTTTTAGCGTCTCGCTCATTACTGGGTACGCCGGCTGCGCCGGAGAAAAACGGCCTTGTAACTCGCCATACAAAACCACTCGGCAACTAGCGAAAGTAGTTTTGAGTTTGCCTTACCGAGGAGGTTTCCTAGTATATACACAGCTCATTCCAAATGGCCACTTCGACCGATCATCCTTCCTTTGTTAGATTCGCGTTTCGATATGGAACACATATACTTGGGATTAGTTTCGAATGCTGATTCCAAATATGCTCTTCTAGCAGCGGCGCAGTATTCTGAAGCGAGCTATAAGCTTTTTTTTCTGAGCGCAACTGCCTACTCAACATGGAAGATTGCCTGTAGAGAGAAAAAGTGCCTAAAAAGGGTGCGGCGTACCAGAATAATAACAGACTGAGTCTTTTGTCATTGATAAGAAACTTTACGGAGTGAATCAGCATCTAGATGATGATACCGTAATGCCCATAAGTCGTCCGCGCAGGGCGCGGAGAGTGCGCAAGGTGGGTATCGCGCGTCACTCTCTTTCCCCGTGCACTCTCGCTCCCTGTTTTCTCTGCGCTTCTTCCAGTCATAACCATCTTTAACAAACGCAACAGCGTTGCTCTCCGTACGCAGCGCGGACAGCCTATAGCAGCAAATTTTGCACAGGAAAAAAATCAATAACTCTCTTCAGAGTGAGCGCAGATAGGAACAGCATATTTGGAATCAGCGTTCGAAGCCATTTCAAATATATGTGTCTCATCTCAGACGCGAATCTAAGGAAACGGCCATAGATTGCCGGCAACTGTGTTCGAAGTTGCCGAAGTTGCCGGCGTTGCCAAGGTCAGAGGCAGGTCAGGCTGCATTCACACTGAACCGGAAGTTGGCGCAGCCTTAGAGAGTGCGCGAAATGTAAAGGCATTGTGGGATCCTACAACGACCGGCAATTTAGGCAATGCCGGCAACCTCGGCAATTTCGGATACAGCTGTCGGCAACCTTTGGCCGTTTCCTAACAAGGGAACGATACTCAATGTCCGTGGCCTTTCGAGACGTGATTCATACCATAACACTCTTCTTCGAACGCTGATTCCAAATCTGCCTTCCGTTTCTGCTAATCGTTTCTCTGAAAGAAGTTACGGGGGAATTTCGAGCCAAGTTTGGCTGCTCAAGGGAAATATGGTCATTGGAACGGCCTCTACTGCGGCCACCTTCTGGTTCAGTGGTTAGTGCGATAGCCTTATAAGTTGATGCAGGTGTAAGTTCAAATCCTTTTGTGTTTTTACTTTTGCATTGCCTTAATTAAGCTTGTTTGAGAAAATTTACTTGAACTATGATCATTGGATACAATTTAGGGCAAATAGTAATCTTTTTTACAAATTGCCGCATTTTTTGAAGAGTAAGGGCATTCATTTAGCTCGATGATGCGAAAGAAGGTTAATTGAGGCAATGCAAAACTGAAAAACACAAAAGGGTTCGAACCTGCACCTGCATCAACTCATGAGGCCAACGCACTAACCACTAGACCAAAGTGCACCGGTAGCGGTGGCGCTCCGACCATATTTCACTGGGCAGCCAGAATCCGCGCGATCCATTATAACAACTTTGAAGCGATTAGCAGAAACAGAAGTCAGATTCGGAATCAGTGTTCCAAGACGAGTGTAATGGTATACATCTCATCTTAAAAGGCCGCGGACACCGAGTATCGTTTCCTTGTAAGTTGCGTGACTTCCTTGAGAGGAAATGCAAGAGAAACTTCCTACATTCAGACATCTATCAGCAACTGCATTTAGACATCTATCAGTCATCGACTCTTCGGCAACATGTAGTCCTGCAATTCTTTCTGCCAGTTATACTGAAGCATTTCCTCGTGAGCGAATAGTATATCTTAGCCCTGACGCTGAGGAAGAGCTTTTGACAGTCGATGACGACGAAGTAAGGCAGTTTTTTAGGAATGTACAGTTCTGGTCTATAAAGCTGTTTTTTAGACTTATGTCCTGGGTGGTATTGTCGACCGTGTAGTTGAACGAGGAGTTCCGCATCATGCCTCTCTGGAAACAGCAACAGCGGATGGAGTTAGCTGCAAGAAACTACCACTCGATAAATACGTGAAGTGGGTTGATTGTGTACACAATCGAACAAGGTGAAAGTCTGACATTCAGATGGAGAAGCGGAACCAAATATCTGACTTTGACTGCGGTCTGCGCTATCCTTCGAGATGTGAACAACTCGGGTGGCGATTGGGAGTCCGCTCTGACAAAGTAAGACTACGCCTGGATTTCGTTACTGCGAGTAAGGCTCCAGTGACTTGCTACATACATGTGTCATCTATTCTATGACTAGGAAACGCGAGACCGCATTGCGGACATTGTTTTAACAGGTTTGAGTTTGTTCATCCCTGTTTCCAAAGAGTGAATAAACCTGGACGAGATAAATAACAAGTATAAACCTGCTAAGTACAGGATTAGGCTTGTTTAGACAATGTGTGCAATGCGGTTTCGCGTCGTCTCTTAATCATAGAATGAATGATACTTAACGAATCATTTCATTTCAGACACATTCCAGTACGCAACGTTAAATCAACCGAAGAAAAATCTATGGCAGGACGTATGTTGTATGAGAAAATTCGCCAATTCGATCGCCAGGTTTTGCAAATTCTGGACCGCGAATTGGGTGAAGAACTCCGCTAACTTATTCAAGGTAGCGTCCTGAGGGTGCCTTCATACCACGCCGGCAGCCACCGCTTGCAGCTCGTAGCAGCCCGTAGCAGCCGCCCAGCCGCCAGCAGCCCGTAGCCGCCGCTAGCCGCTTTTGTCATAGAAGCGCAAAACCATCGAATGCTTACTACTTTGAGTGCGCTCGCCCACATTTTCATCTTCCACGCTTCTTTCTTCATATTGTAGCTGATGTGCAGTTCGACTGTCCAACATTACAAAGTCATTTATGATAAGCACGATAGCTAAGGATAAGATTGAAGCAGAACCATACTTGAAAGTAAACAAATAGCGCACCTGCAGAAAGTGGATGCATCCGAAGTCAGAAGAAATTATACCGCGAACAAACTTTGACGAACTATATTTCAGCCGCAAGAGGGAAATTGAGCACCACTAGGATAACCAATTTACGGGAACAAGATAATAACAGCAATAGACACAAGTGTGATATATACAACAAGAAGGGAAAAGCGTAGAAGATGGAGAGCGTAGACCGTTGCACTTAAAAGCAGCGTTCAGGCAGATCTGGACCTATGGGGATTTTACGTGAAAAGTACTTTTGGGGCCCTAACTGAGGCACTGCTCAAGCGGCAACGCAGGTAATGCTCTAACGGCTGAGATATTCCCCTCAATGGACCCCACAATCGTATTCGCGTGGATTCATGGCGCAACATCGGTTTCGCGCGAGGACCACGCGAAACCAATGGGTTGCACCATGAATCCATGTAGAATACGTTCCTGGCAATCTCGAGGGGAATATCTCGCCTGTTAGAGCACTACTTGAGCTGCCGGTTGGACAGTGGCTCAGTTAGGGCCCCAAAATTACTATCCATGTGAGATCCCCATACTCCAGATTTGCCTGGACGCTGCCTTCAAGGTAGTAAGAACTTGATGATTTTGCGCTTCTATGACAAAGCCAGCGGCGGCTACGGGCTGTTAGCGGCGACTGCCGGCGCGATATAGAGGCACTCTGAGAATATGCACACACTCGATGAGAGTGCCCACTTCCACTTTTTGGCTATCTTGTATATATTCTAATCTTTCAAGCTTGTCATGCGCCACCTACGAGCTACTGTTTCCATGAACCTTTATCAAACGGCCTCTTCCACACGAGGAAAAAGACTGAACTAATTTCCAACACACGCTGACTTGTATCGGTCAAATTGTGACGATGCTACGGATACAAACTCGCACTTACGTTCGCTTATTGTAGTTTGATAAATGTCTCATTCATTCCAAATCACACATTAGGCTTCCAGGTGAGGAAGAAGTTTATTTTCACGTGTAAGATTTCAGTCACAACAAGTGCAAGATAAAACAGATACAACACATATTGAGTAAGCAGTCTTGACTCACAAAAGCTTCCTTTTTCCAAAAAAGACTTGGTATAATCTATCACGTGGACATTTTGGTATGTCTGAAAAGAGTGTGGCCACATTCTAATAGGTTTTCGCTCAATATAAAATGCTTGCGGTGTCGAGGTTGAGCGGGATTGCGCGTGAACAGGTAAATAGATAAGCCAGGAGCAGTGGCATTCTGCGCACGCGCGCAAGTAGCCGGCATTACCGGAGTAGCTAGATATCCCACAACAGCTGCTAGCCCGCCCAGTGTCTCCGACTTGCGGCCAGCACGGCTAACATCATGGAAGGGCATGAACTTCAGGGATAACAGCCAAGAGGATGATGCTAAGTCTTGTTGTCGCGTGTTGTTAAAGTTTTCTGCATGTTTCAACTTGTTAGCTTTGTGTGCCGCAGGTCAGAGACGCAAGCAGGAGTACCAGCAATCGTGTAGTGGACGATATTTCACGTGCTATTCAAAAACCCAAAGCACTGCAAGCACACCACATCAACGGAAGATCTAGACTGCCATTTTTGGAGTCCACAGCAAATTCGGAAAGAGCGGAATAGGTCGAACTCAGTTTCCTTGAAGCAGGGCCCGGCACAGATGGTCTGGGGTCAAACTGAACTTCGTTTTTGAAGTTAAAAGCAAAGAGGATATCGTTTTTATAAGGTCTTGGACGGAGCACGGGAAGCAACAAGGCAAACATGTCAGATTTTACGAGTTAAACGTGTTCTTTCGAAAGCGCGCGAATTTCAAACGCAAGACTCAAAAGACGAATGGCTTGTTTTACACTGCACAAGCAACCACATTTGAACGGATTGGGGCTATGTGTATGCAATATTACTCCAAATTATATTATGTAAAAAGGTTCAAAAACTTGTGTTCTAATACCCTTTCCTTTGTTGGTTTCTAGGGTTGGTTCGGAGCATAAATATCGGAGAGTTCACATAAGTTTTGAATTTTTTCATGGACGATCAAAACGATTGAAAATCTATCATATGGCGAAGAGAGCGAATCAAACCATTGCCTCTCCTCTTTTTTCAGCCAAAATAGTGTAAACTCTACGCATTTATAGATATCGCGCTCCAATCGCATGCAGTGGCGAAAATGCATCGCCAGATTGTTGAGGCCACAGCTCAGACACTGGGAGCGGCCGAGCCGCGGACCTTTTCCGGTTGGAATTTCGCAGCGTCCGCGGTCCGGCCGGAGATGGACCGCGGCTTGGCCGAAAAACAGCCTCGGCTCGTCCGCTTTTAGGCCGCGGCTCAGCCGGAGCTGGTTGTCGGGCCGTTCATTCTAGCTCAGATACAGTAGAACTGTTTTTTGTTCACTGGCACATAGAACATACACAGTAAAAAGAACAAAAATTAAGGCCACCGATATAGCGGCTTCGGAAACCAGGTCCGACTTCAACATTGGACAACACAAGATGCTATCCAAGGTTGTACAACATAATGATCTTGTTCCCGCCTTGGAAAGGCTATGAACACTGAGAGCAGCCTGACCATGCGTCGTACATCACGCAAGTATTCTTTATGCTCAGATACTGGGAGCGGCCGAGCCGCGGACCTTATCTGACCAAAATCTCTATAATGAAACTTCGGCCGCGCCTCGGCCGGAGTTTCATTATAGAGATTTTGGTCCGCGGCTCAGCCGCTGCAATGCTTTACCCCCATCATTACGGCCGCGGCTGAGCCGGCAAACCATATTCAGTCCGCGGCTCAACCGCTGCAATGCTCCACCCCCATCATTAAGGCGGCGGCTGAGCCGGTAAACCATATTCAGTCCGCGGCTCGGCCGGGAGATCCGGTACGCGGCAAACGTTGAGGGATACGTTAGCCGTGGAGCGCGCCAGCGCAATCATTGGCCGTAGTTGGCAAGACAGCCAAAGTTGGCCCAGCTTTCACATGTTTTTGTTCTCTAACATCGTTTTGATGTTTCTTGGTCGATAAAATCTCATTTTCGTCATTTCTAAGCCAAATTCGTGCGTGATAACTTTTGATTTTCATTTATGGAAGGCAAGTGCTTCGAAGATCTTTCATCTTTTTTGCTCAATCTAGTGAGAACAGAACTTTGAAGAATATGGACTTCATATTTCCCATGACTAGCTTCAAAAAAAAGATGTCGGGTTTGCATTTTCGATGCGTGCAACAGATGGTTGCAATGTTTATCATTTTCAACACTTCTGCTGACTTGAAAAATCAAGTTATCTTGAATTTTGTGAACATGTGCGCTCTCTTTCAAACTGCTTTTTCTGTTGAACTTCAAGTACAGCTTCAATCAGTATGCGGAAGTAGATACCATAGGAATGTTGCCTTGAATACTTTCGCGTTTGCTTCCTAATACTGATGCTGAAATTTTGCAGTTGATGATTAATGCAGTTAAGTATCGTTCGGACGTATGCAGGAAGTGTTGTTAGAAGTTAGAGGATTTTGCCTATTCATATTTTGACGCTGATAACGCACAAACAAAGTTTGTGCCAGTGACTTGACGGCCTGAATTGAATCCTCAAGATCAATTCCCCTCATATACAGGATTAATGGTGATAGTGTTTTTGTATTGGCCGCATAAGGCAAGTAGGTTTCACGAAATTTTGGTAAGAGTGGAGCTTTCATTCAACCTAGCCACTGATAGTTCCGCTGACGAAATGAGTGTGACACTGTATCGGTCCTGAAATATTTTGTCTGTTTGTGTTCTATTTCTGTGGTACAGAAACCACGCTTGACACTCTCTCCTTGCGAGAAATATTTTGTTAAACCTTTATCTTGAAAAGTTGAATTCAATGTCGATTTGAGTGATGTCTAGTCTGTTCAAACGAAACCAACTCGTTTGGGGATTGTCTGCCATCTGAAGAAATCTAAATATCTGCATTGACTTTTCGCATAAATTGCTAGTGTTTTGTTGAACATAATGAACCCTTAGTCCGTTCATCCTTGAGTGTAGAACTGCTAAACTTTCGAAACTTTACAGAAACGCATAGGAATTCTATTTTTAGTGCCAGTGTCGAAATATTCTCCTAACTATGAATTTGCAAGCCGTATCTATCCCTTTGTGTGCACCCATCATGTGCTCTGCTGAATTCCGAGCAAAATTGGGTGCTACTTTTTTATTTGAAGAGTCTTCTACTAATACTAGTGGGTGATCAGTTTTATAAAGCAGATAGCCAGCCAGCTCATTACAAGGAATTGCTAACGGCAAGATATTCTATTATGTTATCACATCAGGATAACATAGGTACAAATAACTAGCAAGGAACAACTACAGAACGCAAACAATAACAGCAAAAGCAACGTAAGTACATTGAGAGAATCACTCGATTGCATCTGGCTTCTCAACATTTTTCCAAAGAAAGACAACTTCGGAACAAATGCTCATTTTTGTTTTTTCCCTCCGGATCAGGCAAAAATCTACATGGGGAAATCCCTTCGAAGTACACCTGAAAAATCCCCCCCCCCCCCGGCCAACTTTAGCTGTCTTGCCAACTACGGCCAATGATTGCGCTGGCGCGCTCCACGGCTAACGTATCCCTCAACGTTTGCCGCGTACCGGATCTCGCTCGGCCGGTGCAATGATATTGACAGAATTGAGGTCCGCGGCTCAGCCGCACTCCGGCCACGCCCACAAATTGAGGCCGCGGACGGGTTTGAAAGGCCTTTTGAGGCCGCGGCTCGCCCGGTCCCAGTGTCTGAGAGATTGGTTGCCCTAGGAGGTTTTCAACATTCTGAACACTAAAATGTACCATAATCAATGAGGGAGCCTTAATCAACTCAATTTTTTTTGCTTTTTCGTTATAAAGGACATTCGTCGACGACTGCCCCGACTGGTGCAATTACACCAGTGCTCGTGCTTTTTTGGAGCTTTTCAGCCTGACATTAGTACAGGATAGGAAGGGGAAAGGACAGGCCGCGAGCTACCAAGTCCCCTCGCGCTGCAGCGTACTATTGAGATAGAAAGGCCCCAATAAGGCACGCCTAAGGTGGTGCAATTGCACGAGTCGGGGCAATCCGACGAATATCCTTTACTAGATGCTTCAGAATGCTTTTTTTCGCTTTGGTTCTCCTACTGACTTTTACGTCAAGAGGGACTACGTAAGTTTTTGCCAAGTCATAAAGATCTTCGTTTCCAAAAATGCTCCAAACCAACGCGTTCCGGGACCTGCCTTGAAGGCATTCCATATCACAGAAAGTCTAGCCACAAGCAAACGATGAAGAAATTTCAGCTGCTGCAGAAGTGCGCAAAAAGATCTATCCACCTTTGAAGTGGCCTTTTCCCCCATGTCACGTACACTGTGGTCTCTTGGCAAAGCTGAAGTTGTGTACAGGCCATCTATTGCACGCAAATACTGGGGACGTGTCGGCGTCTCTCTGATCAAGCGCTCTTTCGTTTGTCTTATCATCTGCGATCTCTCCCAAGCACGAGCTATCTTTGTTGGGCGCAACACGCCCAGTCTTTGCTGTCATGAATCGCCGATACATTGGTACATGGACAAAGTATTGGTGTGGGTCTAGTAGTAACCTTACCTCGCGCAATTTCTCCAGTCGCAGCGATACGCGATCTGGCAATTTGCGAAATGTGTGCAAATCCACCGCGTGTTGAATTCAAGTGCATAAGCGCATAGCTTTTGTACGCTTGTGCGTACATGCCAAATCTTGCTTACAGAGTGTGCGCTTAAGGAAGATGATAAACAATCGTAGCAATTAAAAATCGCGCGGCGACGAGGTATGACCGATCCCCGTCACCCTCGCTTCCCTAATTAGGCGGGTTTGGACGGGTACCGCGATGTCCGAACGATGCCAAAGAAACTCGAAACCGCTTTGCACACATTGTCCAAATATGCTCGACCTTGTTCTTTCTAACTGAATAGAGCAAACACCATAGGCAGGACAGATCGAGAAACTCGTTAACCAACGCGATCAAGCTTGTTTTGGCGATGTGTGCAAAACAGTTTCGAGTCCTTTAGCAGAATGAGTGGTACGTATATGAGGAATAGAAAATTCCATCTCTGAAGAATTCGGATCAATTTGCAGCACTTCGGGGCGGGACTTCCTTATCGATCGATTTCGATTCTATCGATTCTTTTAGCTGTGGGCTTTTGGGAGTTGGCACTGGGGGAGGGGAGGGGGGGGGGGGGCAAGCTCATTACGAGCAAATGCCCTTTTGTAAAAATACATACACATTACTTAGTCGATTTTATCGATTTTTTTGCAAATTTTAAGCTTGGTCGGCAGGATATGTCACGGGAGGGAAGGCAAAGCTATAAGAGGCTCCCAAATTCGTGTGGAGGCGGAATGCGGATTGCTTCTGATAACGCGGATAAACTTGTTATACTTCCACGTTATAGCATTGCTGTTCGTACCCTGCGCTAGCAAAAACCGCCACGCTCCGCCTCTACACGACTCAGAGACAGAGAAATAGAGCGATGTTGTATAAAAGTATGTCAACAGGAAGTGACCGAAGCCGGTTATCCCGGCTAGTCACAAGCAAGGGAAGACGAGTGGCGTGTGTACACCGCTATAACCCGTAGAATCGAAATTCAAAGCCTTTAATCTCCTAAAATTATACTGATGCCAGAAAAATTTGTGAAAATCAAAGGAAGTGTCAGCAAACACTTTACTTCCTTTACTATCGGGATTGCTTTGTACTTTGGAAAGTACTAAAGCGGCGGAAGAGCTTTTTAGGCGTAAGTCGTACCACGCCCAATCCGGCATGCTGCTACCGGCTGTACAGTCGAATAGATTTTCCGCTTAATATAGTGTGCTAGCACTGCAGGTATTGCGATAGCCACGATAGCTACCAGTAATGCAGGCGTTTTGCGTGCGCAATTGGCCGGTGTCACAGGCTTAGCTATTTGTTCACACACAAATTCCATCCATTTTACCTGCAGTGCAATCACACTCTATGAAACGGAAAATCTACTTGACTGTAATTCTTCTAGAGCACACTTCGAATGAGCAACTTGGAATAATTCGCATCAGTTTACTTGCGCATATGCATTGGAAGCAGCGAAATTTTACAGTTTTCCATGTTACCGTTAGCAACATAAATATCGTGCATTCCTCTCAAAAACTGAGTCAGATTACAAATAACTTAAAATTTCTCCCATATGAATGTGAGACTTTCTTATAACTAGACAACATACACTCCGTAAAATTAGTCAAATTGACGTCAAAATTCGAACAATAATAATTTCGCCATTAGCGGAAAAGGCGAGTCAAGACAAGAGATTTATAACTGCACTCCTGACTAGGGTACCTATCACGAAATGATTGACCGTATAGAAAGATGCAGAATCCTTATGCAATCATATAGAGACAAAGATATGGTGGAAGTCTTATCTAGCAGTTTCGAATCCAGGGAGGCCAGCAAATATGGCAGCCCTATCAAGCTGTAAAAAATCAAATTAGATTATCACCAATGGAGCTATGTACTTATTTCTACTTGAAGGCAGTGGCTCGGGAAAATTGCAACTGCGCGCTTCCTGTTCCTCCTTGGCCTTCTGGATGCGTTTAGATTAGAGCTGTGCTTGAAAAGTCAAAAAGTTTTTGGCTATTCCGGCCTTAGAGATTGCCGAGGAGGCTGGAGCGGAGATTCCCGCCGAAAACAGTGACTGGCTGCAAGAGACTGTAACACCACTCATTTTGGCGGCAACTGACTGATTAACCCAAGCAGCCAATCGCAACTCGGCTGCGGGAATCTGCGCACCAGCCATCTCAGCAATCTCCGGCCGGAGAACGCTACAAAAGCACTTTTTTGACTAGCTCTGGTCCAAATGCATCCAAAAGGCCAAGGAGGAACAGAAAGCGCGCAACTGTAAATTCCCCGAGCCACTGCCCTCGAAGGCTGCGTCCGGACAGATTTTCGGCTTTGCGTCATTCTCGAGGCTTTCCATGGCCTCACTCAATTTCAAATCGCGCGAAAACCCCGAGAACCCGCGTTTGGAGAACCTTTTTTTGATAAGCGCCGATATTTATTGCGTTGCCACGTGAAATCATGTATCACACAAAAATATGTCTTACAGGCGCAACGTGGAAGACACATCTGTAAGCTTGTCCACGCAGATGTATGGGAGCAGAAAGGGTTAGGAAAACGGCCGTATTTGAGGCTTTAGGAGTAGCTTTTCTGAGCGAACCTGATGGTTTCCAGCTGAGAGGGGAGGACCTACTGTACCATATCAAAATCTGGGATAAGCCGATTTTGCCCGAACGCTGCCTCTAAAATCATTTGCAAATCAGGCACTAAACAACACTCACTTTGAAATCCTTCCAAGCGTCACACAACTGCACAATATAACCATCTGTTCTAGTGAAGGGCAGCACGTAGCCGACTCCAGTATGATTAGAATCAGACATAAGACCAGGGAAGTATGCAAACTCTGATCCCAGATCAGTTTCGGGACTAAAGTGTAGTCATGTGAGTACTACTATAAAAGATTATTTCGCGTACCTGAGACTATCCAGAAATGCGGTAGGCGTCTTTTCGTCACCACCGTGGATGCCTGTGGTAGAATCGCTTACATCGGATGAGCCACATAATAGTTTATGCAATTCCATTTCAATTTTCTCAGTGGCTCCAGCTGATATGTCAGTGGAAGCGCTCACTGACGGTGATTTGAAAGCAGTGAAAGCCTATAGAAGAATATTCGATGGATCCAACAAATCTCTTGTAAGAAAAGGGCCACCTATTGCACTAACCGATGTCTCACTCAGACTAATCCTTGCTGATCTTTCCTTGGGAGCAACATAGACAGGACGGTTTACGAAGGGAGCTGGAGCTTGCTGTGCTGGAATTGCTATTGGATGGGCAATCTGAGGCGGTGCAATTTTTTCAGTCGATCCACGAGGAGTTTTGCCAGCAGAACCTATGTTGACTATCACATTATGCAAGACTCAAACACAAGGCGAGCAATATAGAGTAAGATTAAACGTTCACTTACTGGCCAGCGGATTAAGCACAGCTTTTCCTAGAGGGCTTTGTTCAAGAGGACGGAACTGGCTTGCGTGAGGCGGATGGCTTCCAGAAGTAGATACGAATCTCGATGTGCGGTCAAGTAGACCGTCGCGAGGACCAAACGTAGTTTGCGACGCTAGGTTTGGTATATTCGCAGAAGTATTGGAGATAGTTTCTTCTAGAGAGGGCATATTCGGAAGCGGTACCGTCTAAAATTATGATTTTCGATACTGCAACGGCACGGAACTAGGTGACAGACAGTGCGTCGCTTGGGATCATAAGCGGAGTTGACCGTTGTATTCGGATACAGTGACGGTGAGAATAACGCGTCCATGACTGCCGATATATCTACAGGAAAGAAAACTTCCACAATTTACAGCTAATGAAAATGGACTCACCTTTGGTATGTGCATCTCCAAATGTGGATAAACTACCCGGCTTTTGTTCATATCCTCTCTGACGCTCCGTAGCCTAGAAGTGTACTATCAAGAACAATTTAGATCACCGAATGCGAAGAAAGTTGCAGCACATTTACCCATCACTATGATTTCTGTTTAATACACAGAATGAGCGTAGTATGGGAGTAGATTTTCGGATAAAATTTGCAATTCTATGTTTTACAAGGGAATGGTCAGAAGTCGAAATGGCCAATCCATACAAGCTGCATACCAATCGATGCAGCATAGAATGCTGATTTCAAATGTGTCTTCCCTATCTGCAGAGCGCCTTTGTGGGCGAAGTTATGAGCAGCTTTACTGCGAAAAAATCGTCCACAAAAACTGCGAAATTAGGCAGATCACTGCTCTTTTAGCTCACCTTTAGGTACGAGCCATATGAACTGACCTAGTTACACGTTTTGGTCCAACACTGAGCCGAGAATGGCTTTGTATGGCCAAGTTTGACCTTTACACGCACAATTTCTTAGCAAAATGATGACATTCAACGGCTTATAACTTCGCCTACAAAAGCGCTCTGCAGATAAGGAAGACAGATCTGAAATCAGCATTCTATGCTGCATCGAATGGTATGCAGCTTGCTTGAATTGGCCACTTCGATTTCTGACCATTCCCTTGTTAGGACAACAAGCAGATGCAGCAATCAAAAAAATTCTCTAACATTGATTGATCTGCTTATGTTCATTCTATCACTCAACATCCAAAATAGTTCTATGCCATCACAGTATATTGTTGAATATCTGTGCAAGTCATATGATAGGTAAGCTAATTGAAGAACTGTACTCTCACTCGAATGTATTTTAAGAACTGATGGACAGACCGCTATCGCTCGTCGTTCTTGCTCCTTCATAATGTATTTTTGAAGATCCTGAACGAATGGCATGACGGTGTAGAAGTTGTGATTAGACAAGATTCCAAATCGATGTTGATCATTGCGATCAGTTGGAAGCTCCCACACATTGAACCATTGTATCTTCCTTGAGCATTTGAAATGTGAAAAAAATTCACATGCATGATCTTTTCACTAACCTAATCTCATTTCTGGTTTGCGGAGCAAATGGAAAGTCTGTTGGCACATCGGGCACAATGTACAGGCGAACCATTGTTTCATTCACAAACTTTTGAAGTTTCTTTTCACCACCGTGGGGGCGATGATCACCAAAGTTGAACCCCGTTTCTTCGAAAACTTCACGTATAGCACAACACCGTGGTTCTTCCCCTTCGTTCACCTTCAAAAGTGATCTTCAAGAAGTCATCCGACATAAATTACACAGTAGCACCTTTCCCTTCGGAAATCCCCAGCTGTTTTTGCTGGCGTAAAATCCTTGTACAAGTAAGACATGATTCAACGTCTCATCCAGAAGAATTGCACCGTATGTGGGAACTGTTGACTTGTACCATCGCCATTCGTCTATCACCTGAAGCGACTAATGAAATGATAAAAGCAACATTACCCTATTTTCAGGTGTATAAGCCGCACCCTTTTTGCTCTAAACGCGAGCAGACCCAGGCGTGCCGCCGCGCATATGTCTCGCGAAGCGGTCGCCTTATCGCATACTGCTCTCACTTAACGCGCTCCATGATGACAGTCAGTCTTTTGGCGTGTCCGCCTTTAGAGTGAAAAGGGTGCGGCTTATACACCTGAAAATAGGGTACTTTTTGGTAGATCCTCTTTATGGACGAAAATATCAAGGACAAAAGATAGGGTAGATCAGAACTACTAACGATCGAACTAAGACTGTCTCATAATATGACAGATAGCGCCTCAGATTTATTGCAGACGGTTATCTTTTGTAGCGCAAGCGAATGTCGTTCATAACTGATAATGCTCTCAAAAATCTTGAATGCAAGAGCATTCACTTACTTCAATCAGCTATTTCGAGCAGTGGCCCGTTCATTACAAAAAGTGGACATTGACAACTTTTTGATGATGTTCACATTGTGTTCTACCTTGATTCTATAGATTGACACAAAGGATAAGTATGACATAAAATTGAGAAACTGCTCACTCTACCTGATCAACGCGTGCAGCGTAAGGTGCTAGCTCCTCACAATGCTTGAAGATTTGTCTATAGACATATATTTGAAAGCTGTCAACACAGGAGCTCTATGAAAGTACCTGGCAAATTCCCTCATCCCCATTTGTGCGCAATCCTTCCGCGCCTCTTGTTTGCAATAAAAATCAATATAAAACCAGTGAGCCAGTTCGACTTGAAAGCACATGCGTACTTTGTCGGATTTCTAGAGCATCCAGATGAGAGATGGGAGCTCCAATATGAACAAATCTTCATCACCTCTTCATCCGGGATATTTGCAAGGAATCGAAAAGTCAAATCTTGAAGGACTTCATGTGGAATGCGTGGAGCAGTTTGTGCTGACTTCGTTGGACTAATGGACCATAAAGAGTAAGCATCACCTACAGGATTGGTTGGCTGGAACATAGAGCGACCAATCATCAAACAAATGTATAAAATTTGAAAATGAAAAAAAAAAGTGAGACGTGGTTTCAAAGCCAGCAAATGCTGATAAAAGGACCTACATTATATGCATTGTCACGAGCCTTTCGAGAGGTCGACGTAGACGGTTCTACATCCCCTACAACTCCCTGATTTCGATTCACTCGTGAGGCTACGCTATTCATGCCTTCATCTGTACGTGTGGTTGACGGCGGAACATACTAAATGGGATAGGCGGTAAGATACTGAAAGATAAACGTCTTATAAATGTAAAGAATAGCAACACAAAAACAGCTGTAGTGTCGCAAAGCAAGTTAGTTTACAAAGTGCCATAGACAGCGAAAGGAAACTGGTCATCGATGGCGAACGCGTGTTGTAATCCTTACTACCGAGATCAATGAACATTGGACGCGCATTGCAAAGTTGCAAAAATGAAACATGCGTTGGAAACGGGAAAAGTTCCGCTTCTAATCACAGCTAGATGCTAAGTGATATAAGAAAATTGATTTACAACGAAGAGATCAAATATAGAAATTCTTAAACCATATCAGGAAAACTACACGAAAGGCAAACCTGGGATTGCGAACCGCCTCCCTTTTTTCGAGGATCTTTCTGTCGTGGAGCTACCACATCGATCTTTTGTTTCTGACCATGACTAGAATGCTTCACAGAATTTGAGTGGTCTTGCAGAGGTTTGCCCTGAAAACACGTGAAATGATGCTGATCAACAACCAAGTGAGAAGTTGCTACATGGTCACCAAAACAAACTGCTTAAGAGAACAAGACGCATCACTAATGTATCGATGGAAAAGCATTAACCTCGCCAAAACGGGCTATATGAGTAAGAATGAGAAGTGGTGGCTAAAGCAAGATAACACAAAAGCTTCAGCGCACAAAGCACCATTTAAAGGCAGCGTCCAGGCAGATCTGGACCTATGGGGCTTTTACGTGGAAAGTACTTTTGGGGCCCTAACTAAGGCATTGCCCAAGCGGCAGCTCAGGTAGTGCTCTAATGGCTGAGATATTCCCCTCGAAACTGCCCCCCCCCGAATGTATTCGCATGGATTCATGGCAGTTTCGCGCCAGGATCCACGCTTTGCGCCATGAATCCATGCGGAACACGGTCGCGGGGTCCAGTTTCGAGCAGAATATCTCAGCCATTACAGCACTACTTGAGCTGCCGCTTGGGCAATGTCTTAGTTAGGGCCCCAAAAGTACTTTCCACGTAAAAGCTCCATAGGTCCAGATCTGCCTAGACGCTGCCTTTAAAAGAGTATGCGAGGAAAAATAATGAGGCCGAAAAATCTAAGGCTGCCTTCATATCGCGCCGGCAGCCGCCGCTAGCCGCTTATACGCACTATCCCGGGCTCCAAAATCAAAACCATAAATATTGCTTGAACTTAGTTCAGTGGGGTTATTCGACATGCTGATTAAAAAGCCTCGGAATGGGGGGTAGTGCGTAATAGCGGCTGCAGGCGGCTAGTGAAGTCACCCTAAGGCGCGTTCATACTCATCCGGAAGTTCGGGAAGTTCAAGTACAGCGCCCAGTTCGAGCGCCGTGCTGGAACTGTGTATGAATGCAGTCAAGACTTGAAAAAAGTAAAAATCACGCGCCTCATAACCTGACAGTGACATCTTTCACAATCAGCACCGAGCAAATGCTGGAATAACAAAAGAATGCTATTAATCGGCATAGCCAATGGACCAGATGTAGCAACATTCACAAGCGCGTAATCATGAACAAGGATCTGCTTAAGACTCTATTCGATGCCTTTTCTCGTTTTAATGACAAACTCTTAGCGCAAAACAGCCTCCCACTTCTCAAGTTCACCGAATATGAGTTTACAGCATTTTACTATATAGACCAATAGAGGAAAAGAGAGAAATGTAGTGAACTAGTAGTGGTACACAAAAATCTTTTCGTCATTGTTCACCGGAAATGAAAATAAGCTTCAACAAACAAAAGCAATTCTGATAAAGCCTCACGAAGCATTACAAGGAGGCGCACTGGTACTAGTCGCAAAGAATCCCGGATAGATGTAACCCAGAGCTCTGAATTCTACCTGAGCTTTGCTGAGCGCGGCTAGGAGCTTGGTGGCGGGAGATTCCACATTCAGTTGTGATGAAGAAGATGCCGGAGAGTTGCTCAAGGTGTCAGCAACTCGACGCCTCGGATGCCTCTGAATGCACATAAACTTGCTACGGCAGAGTATTCAGACAATTCGCGAACAGCACTAAAGTAATATAGTTAAGTCTACAATTACAATTACAGCTTCTAGTTGAGAAGTAATAATTGATTACAAAAACTGATAATCGCAAAAAATAGGAAGAATAACTTACCTTTCTATTTGGAGTTACACCTACGCTGTCCATGGTGATCTGAAAAACAAAGATGCAGACCAAATGACTGCAAAACTGCGTTCAAAGTCAACTCGAAAAAGAACTAGATGGCATACATTACCACCTAAGATGCTGAACTACGATATTGGCTTACCGATAAACAGTAATAGGTTCAATGGATTCAAATCAGGTAGCTCGCATGTATCGTAAGCATGCACATGAAAAACCTGACGATACAACATTCCATAGTTAGATTATCGCACAAGCAGAATTGACGGGTTTCAGTCTGCTTAAACTTGATGCATCCCTTTGTCTCTTGTAACTAACTAGAATTTCACAGTTGAGCACAAGCAGCGTCCGATCCGACCATGTAAAATGCATCTGTCAATATCAACCGATGATCCATTGGATTTCAATGTAATATTGTAGAATAAATTATGGATTTCGGCTTAACAACCACCCGGTTTGCGGCCCAGTAGTGCATGCGCCTGATCATATGAATTTTGGGTTCGTTAAGGCATAGTTCTTCCTGACGCGACACACGTACCAATCATTCTTGGTTTGACTGCAGTCGTTGCGCATACAGGAGCTCAAACACCCGCTAGCCGGTTGGTGTCAATTCCCCTCAGCCCCGAAGGGTTCGACCACCGGCCGGTATAAGCTGGATATACTTCGGCTGGATTCCCATGGTCCGGAACTGTTCCCGCACAGTTCCCGCACTGTGCTGGAACGTTCCGGAACTGTGCTGCATGTGCTGCAGCCGCCCCGCACGCGTTTTGAACGGCAGGAATTGGAGAATTTTGAAAGTTCCTAGCGGTTTTTCTTCCAGATTCCTCTCATTTTGGCCTTATTCCTCTACCCCGCTTCTCCTAGTGATGAGAAAAACTGTGAACTTGATGCGGAATTGAGGAATGAACGTTGTTCTTATTTAATCATCCGGAACATGCACATGAAAGAGAACAGCGTTCTCTATTCAGTTCCGCTTCAAGTTCGCAGCATTTCGATCACTAGGAGAAGCGGGTAGAAAAGAGAACCAGGGTCAAGCAAGGGGTGTGGCACACGATCGCTGGTTACGATCCCCCCTGAATTATATACCTAAGATAGCATTACCTGAAGGCCCTCTCAAACATAATGGGCAATATATCCATAATGAGCATGTCAATTAACCCCTGTAGACAAAGTCTGAGCGAATTCTGAAGATTCGAGATAGTGGGCTACCTGAGTGAAATGGTCATTTTCCAACATGATTAACTTTGTTTCAAAGGTGAAATAGCTATCCGTTTACACTCAAAACAAAGCACTACTCCTTCTTTGTCCATCTCAGAAATCCCGCTTCAAAAGATCTCCAAACTGTGGAATTAGGAGCCAACCAAAAACTCATTTTTCCCATTTTTCGCTTTTGATGGCTGTGCTTTCACCAAATATTACTCAGAGCTAAGAAAATTAGGCTCAAATCCTCCTGTGAAAACTAGGAGATCTAGGCTATCGATCCAGATAAATACGGAATATAATGATATGATACGAATATCATGTTATCACTATTATCAGATTACCCAACTACGACCCCCTCCTCTTTTGACTCCTCAATACGACCCCCCAGGTGTGGCTTGCCACACCCCACGCTTGACCCTGGAGAGAACGGATAAGCAACGATATGAAGAAAGGAAAGGGGCTGAGAAGGAATGCTTAAAAACGAAATTCATCAGATAACAAGAGCAAAGTTCCCATTTCCGCACTTTCAGAATATCGCATGTCCTAATTCAAGACAGATGCCTGCGGAAACTACGCAGCGGCTTCCTGAAACAAATGGGAAGATTTGAGCAGAAAATAAAACGAAGCGAGAATGGACAAGCGCAAAAACAGACATTTTGTCGGATACGCAGAGCAGAAACGCGCTCATTCTTCGACCCCGATTCGGTTCAAAATTCTGCCTATCAAAAAAAGGAAGAGGAATAAGGCCAAAATGAGAGAAATCTGGAAGAAAAACGGGTGGAGGACTATATGTCGCCGAATTTGGATGAGTCCCGCGCGGATTCCCTGCAGGAACGTCCGCGCATGTACAAGGATGCGTATTTGTCGCAAATGACCGCGGGGACTGCCCTTTTTCGGCGACATATAGTCCTCTACCCCTATACTCAGACACGCGCTGCGGCGGCGCGAGCGCCATAATAGCGCTACAGTGCGAGCGGCGTGCCCTATTTGAGGCTGCCGTGCGAGCGGCGCGCTTTAATTGAAGCTGCAGTGCGAGCGGCGCGCCATCATTCGCAGCCAGCGAGCGGCGCGCCATATTACGGCCGCCGGCGCGCCTACTCGACACTCGGCGCGGCGGCGCGCGCGCCACTACAGCACTGTATCGCGAACGGCGCGCCCTAGTTGAGAGTGCGAGCGGCGCGCAATTTATCAGTGGGCCGCGTGCCATGATATTTTCTGCATTTCCACACGCTATAAGCACAAGCGATACCTGCGTGAAGTACGACGCAGTGTTTTGGGTGCTTTATCGCTAATTCATTGAGGTTATCGCTGTTTCGCAATGGAGTTGTCTCATTAACACAAGTGGGATTCTTCTAGTTCTTCCACTGAGAGTCAGTCCTCATAAGCACTGCGAGCAGGTGCCGAGTTTGAATTCGAATTTGAAAATTTAATTTCTTGATTTTCTGAAATTTGAATTTTCAAATTCAAGGTTTGGAAACTTCCAAGTTCTTATTTGAAAATGAAGCCATTGCTTGCCTGAAACTGAGGGTTGTCAACAGGTCTACTACAGATTCACCGTGATTCGCAGTGCTTCAAATGCGAATGGCAATTTTCATACCGTGCGAGAGGCGTGCCATTATCGTGTGGCGCGCGTCCCATCTACTCACGGCGCGCGTACCATTTACTCGCGGCGCGCGTTCCAATTACTCGCGGCACGCGCGCCATTTGACGGCCAGCGGCGGGGGACATGAGGGGCCGCACGCATAAGGCGCGCGCGCCGCCGCAGCGAGTGTCTGAGTATGTCGCCGATGGGAGGGTCCCGCGCGAACAATGCAGCAGGTACCTACGCATGTACAAGGGATGTGTATTTGTTGCGTGTCCGGCAGGACCTCCCACTTTCGCATTTCTACTTTTGAAGGCCAAACTAGTGGACAGGATCAAGTGTGTTACTTTGCATGAGGGGCCGGCTTATAGACTAAGTGTTAATTTGAAAATCCATAGATTCTGGGTTAAGTAGTGATTCTAACATGGTGCTAAATTAGGTCTTCCATTGAGGCCATAGCAAACTGCGGCATATTATCAAACTCACAAGCGCCAAAATCATGAACTCATCAGATTCTTATCAACAGAGAAAACTTGCCGCCGCAACGCTGAATGGCACACACCATTGTATCACTTGATCACTTCGTCAAAGTCGCTATGGGTCACAGTCAGCTGACCAAGGCGCCATCTAAATCTACTTAACCGGCTGCGCGGGCGGTCGCGCGCGTTTCTCACTGCGTGGTAGGACCTGCACATTGAGTATGGACCACGCTTGCTCTCCGGAACTTGGAAAGTCGCGGTCGCGCATGTTATTTTGAATCTTGTCAGACTTCTTGAAGAATTAAAAAGGACAAAGACCATTCTCAGAAGTGCACATTGTCATATTCTGCATTCAAAGAATTATAGGCTGGAGCTGCTTTGCGCGAACATTCCTGTAGAAAGGCAGGCCATTGTACGAGATCCTTAGTGTGCGCGTGCTTGTACATTTTCAACAGTGTGAAATCCTTCGTATGTTGCATAAGATCATGTTTTTTCGAAGAAGGATTGATACCATCCAAAAAACATTATTGATTCTTTTTCTTTATTGATACGTTTCGCTTTGTTTTGATGCTGATTTCAAATGTTTGATTACTGTTTTCCACCGTGAAACATAATGCTCTTCTCATTTAGTCTTTAATCCACTGTACGAGATCACACCAGCGTCTTCAAAGTTTTAGAGACTAGTTAGACAAACTGTCAGATAGGAGCAATGCTGTCAAATATTCAGGCCTGAACTTTCATTACTTTATCCAACAAAACTGATAAGGCAAAACGATGATTCGTGATTAAGGGAGCGAACGCCAAGCATTGTCTGACAAAGTCGGATCCGTTTATTCTGCAAAGCTATTTGGTAGATTATGCACGTTATGATTACAGTATCAACTAGTTGACCATACGTGAAGCTCTCTCAGATCTTCTAGTTCACAATAAACAATAGACATGTTAGTGAAGGCCCAGTTGTAGGCCCTTTAAGTGCAAGAACTCAAGAAGTATGAGGGTAGGTATCGAGCCGCTCAGAACTCCCTTCCCTAGAGGTTGTCATCGTTCAAAAAGCATTCTCTTGACAAAATTCAGCGATAGGATGTAATAGATGCTGCATGTACGGAGAAGCTTCTGGGCACGGTGTGTCCACTGTAGCGCATACAAGTCGGTACAGTCAAGAAACATCTCCAATCATGAAGTGACGGCCATTTGCCGTGAAACAGTATGACGAAAACAATATGAAAGTGGTGATGCCACCTACTGCAGATTAACCTTACTTGGGAGAAAAAAGCTGTCTTACGCAAACTTTCTACCCACTCAAAATAAAAGAGCTTCTCTTGTCAATACTGGTGAAGTTGTTAAGCTCTGAGCGTTGAGCCGAAAATCACAAATAAACATCAAGAAACCGCTCATATCTCCACAAATCTTCCAACATAGATACTGAAAGCAAGAAGAACTGCATAAGAGGTGCAAGCGTGATTTTCCAAATTTCGGAGAGCAAGCGTGGCCCAAGCTCAATATGCCAGGTCCCACCACGCAGTGAGAAACGCGCGCAACCGCCCGCGCAGCCGGTTAAGTAATTTAGATGGGGCCGCTGACCAATAGCGAAGTATATCAAATGTGCTAAAGAGCTGGCGCCCTTGTCTGTCTGCGTGAGGACGTGAATGAATAAATGGTTGCAGTGGCACAGATTAGGCGCTATTTCCTATCTCCAAAAGCAACTTTAACAGCATTCGGTCATGGCGCCATACCTTACTAATTTATCGTGATCGTGTTTGAAACTTGACAGTTTTCGCATTGAAGGCAGTGTCCAGGTAAATCTGGGCGTATCGGTTTTTCGCCTAGAAATTGATGAGGGGGCTCTAACTAAGGCAGTGCTTAAGAGGCAGCGCAGATTGTTCATTCATGACTGAGAAAACCATACCCGAAACCTCCACGCCTGCGACGTGACCGTAACCCGAAAACGACTTCGCTCACTTTAGCACTACGTTCGCGCTGGACCCATCCTGAGTGTTGCGGTCACGGCCAGGGTCAAGCAAGGGGTGTGGCACATGATCGCTGGTTACGACCCCCCCCCCTCCCCCTGATTGCTGTCATAATAAGACCCCCCCCCTGAATTATATACCTAGGATAGCATTACCTGAAGGCCCTCTCAAACATAATGGGCAATATATCCATAATGAGCATGCCAATTAATCCCTGTAGACAAAGTTTAAGCGAATTTTGAAGATGTAAGATAGTGGGCTACCCAAGTGAAATGGTCATTTTCCAACATGATTAACTTTGTTTCAAAGATGAATTAGCTATCCGTTTTTGCACTCAAGACAAAGCACTACTCCTTTGTCCATCTCAGAAATCCCGTTTCAAAAGACCTCCAAACTGTGGAATTAGAAGCCAACCAAAATCTCATTTTTCCCATTTTTCGCTTTTACTGGCTGTGCTTTCACCAAATATTACTCAAAGCAAAGAAAACGAATCAGGCTCAAATCACTCCTGTGAAAACTAGGAGATCTAGGCTATCTATCCATATAAATACGGTTTGCTAAAAGTATATTTATGATATAGTTGATGGGGTGTGGCACACCCCCCTAAAAGCTGTGGCAGCCACAGCTTTTAAGGGGGTGTGCCACACCCCATTAACTATATCAAAAAAACATTCTTAGCGAACAGTATTTAGATAAATCGATAGCCTAAACCTCGTAGATTCCATAGAAATGTTTTGAGCCTGATTCGTCTTCTTAGCTCTGAGTAATATTTGGTGAAAGCACAGCCATTAAAAGCGAAAAAGGGAAAAATGAGATTTTGGTTGGCTTCTAATACCACAGTTTGGAGGTCTTTTGAAACGGGATTTCTGAGATGGACAAAGGAGTAGTGCTTTGTCTTGAGTGCAAAAACGGATAGCTAATTTACCTTCGAAACAAAGTTAACCATGTTATGACCATTTCACTTAGGTAGCCTAATTTCTTGAATCTTCAGAATTCGCTCAAACTTTGTCTACAAGGGTTACTTGACATGTTAATTATGGATATGATACAAATATCATGTAATCACTATTGTCGGATTACCCAATTACGACAGCCTCCCCTTTTGACTTTTCAATACGACCCCCAGGTGTGGCGTGCCACACCCCACGCTTGACCCTGGTCACGGCGCACCCACGGAGTGTTTGAGGATGGATTTCTCAGCCGTGAATGAATCATTTGCGCTGCGGTTTGGGCAGTGCCTTAGCTAGGATCTCCTCTTCAGTTTTCAGGCAAAAAATCCATATGCCCAACTTTGCCTGGACACTGCCTTCAAAGGCAGCGTCCCGGCAAAAGATGGGTGCCGGGTTTTTGTGGCGATGTTAAAGTAGACCCCCTACCTAAGCGATGACAGAAGTTCGGAGCGAAAAAGGAGGTCTACCAAACCTAAAATTTGCTCTGAAATTGGCCCGAATCTGGGTAGGGGACTATATGTCGCCGAAAAAAGGCGGTCCCCGCGGTCATTTGCGACAAATACGCGCCCTTGTATATGCGCCTTGCATCCCAAACATCAGAAGAGGGCAGGTCTGAGTGCACTACATTCTGCCCCTGCCTAGAAAACTGGACCGCCCACTCGTGCGCGCAAGCCATTCTTACACGCGCTCGGACGAGCTTGTGGTCCCCTGCCCCTCAGAGGCGGCATGCCGCAATGGGGGGCACGCGGAAGGCGACAATCGGCGAAAAATGGAGGCTGTGTATCATCCGTCTCAATGACTTCCACGAATTTCTACTTGTGGCATTGAGTAATGTATCTGCCCCACCCCCCCCCCCCCCCCCCGTAGTTCCCCGGGGTGTCACTTTAACACCAGAAAGTTTTTGATAGGCACAAAATTGGGGATTGTCGCCTTCCGCACCACACCCTGCCGCAATGCTTTAGACAGCGGGGTCCCGCAACGACTCTACGTTTCTAACCATGGCGGGGAGTGGCTCATTCGTCCAAATTCAGATTGAGAACCCTTGGAAAATGCTGATTATCAACAGTTCTTTACTCTTGCTCTTTAAAGCGCATCTCTCTCTTCTTGCTCTTTAAAGCGCATTTTCGAAATCAGCGCGTCGCCAAATAAGCGAAAAAACTTCAGGTTGAGGATTTGCCGAGCCACTGCCTTTGAGGTGGTCTCTGCACCACTATTTTAACGCAAACTCTGCAGGGGTCATTTACTCAGATTGAGAGACCTTTATAGGGCTTATCAACTGCAGTGTCGCGAGACCAGCATCTTCGCTCTCGCGCTGCCGCTTCGCCTGGACTCTACATCTCTTTCACGACGATGCTCTCTGATCACGCTCCCAACGCGCGCGTGGGAAGGGCGCCTCAATCGATTGGATATGATTAGAGAATATGTTTGCGGAAAAAGTGCAGAGTCCCGGGCGGAAGTGGAGATGCTGGTGCACCCGACACTGCAACTGATACCCTCTAGTTACATAGCCAATATGTCAGATTTTACGACCGATATGAGGCCCAACAAAGTAGCCAAGCCTAAGGAAAGTGAGTGCACCTTTTTGACAGAAAAGAGTACAGTACTGATCAGGAAAGAAACCGATTACAAACCTGATGCAATATCCACGTCCAAGCTAATCGTCAATGATCCTTCTTGTTAAATGAGATTGTTGACATCAAAAAGCGATAAAACACTGAAATCCAGAAGGAAATAAGTCGATGGAGATTAAAAACCCTTTGAAGTGCCACCATAAACTAGCAGTATATTTGTTCCCTTCAACTGCGAATATATGATTATACAGAAAAAACTCCCTACGATGAAACAGAAGAGTCCGAGGAAGGCTAATAAATCAAGCTAACAAAGCTTCGGAGAAAGACAGCGATCACCGCGGCGATCTTTTTACTCACCGAATTGTGTGCATCCGCAGACGCTGCGCCGCGGGGGCGCGAAGGGATGTGCTAGGCAAATAAAAGGTACTGGATAACTTTCTGTTGAGCTTATTTGTTGGTTCACTCTCTCTATAATTTTCTACCCATCCAATACTCAAAACGCAATTCTTATCTGATTTTGGTAGCTCCACAAATATGATCAAATTGTAGTCATTGTTTGGTTCTGAAGAATCTTCAGGTTTTAAACATTGTCAGTCTCGGTAAATATCATTCATTCTGTGACTGAGAGACTAGAAACCCTTTGCACACAAAAACAAGCTTGGTCGTTTGGTTAGCAAATTTATACTTGTGGTACATCGAATCTAAAAGAATGGGTACTATTCCAGTATACCGACCCCAAAAATTAAAAATCTCGGATTTCGCTCAAACTCGGTATAGGGGGGTTATTCGATCCGCTGATGCCGAATACCATATCGATTCCGTGCGATAGCGCCATTCTCCGGGGGTTACGGTGGGTATACGGTAGGAGGTCAAAATTACAAAATTCTCTGAAACTTGGTGCAGGGGGTTATTTGACATGCTGAATACGAATATGATCTCCATTCGTTACGGTAGCACCTCATTCCGGGGTTACGGTGGGTATACTGTAGGAGGGTCTAATTCACTTTTCCACACCCACCGCCGCGCGCGATACACCCTGCGGCGGCCTTTGCCTAAGCAAAGCAGGGGGAGGAAATTTCCGACGTGTGACTGAGATTTCAAGCCCTGAATCTCGATCTAGCGGTGGTATTGGTAATGTATACCCAACGTAACGTCGGAATGAGGCACTATCGTAACTAATAAAAACTATAATCGTGATCAGCATGTCAAATAACCCCCCTACACGAAGTTTCAGCGGATATCGTGATTTTGACCTTTTACCGTATAACCACCATAACCCCGGAATGAGGAGCTACCGTAACGAATGAATATCGTATTCGTGTTCAGCATGTCGGTTAACCCCCTCTTACCGAGTTTCAGAGAATTTTGGGATTTTGAGCCCCTACCGTATACCCACCGTAACCCCCGGAAAATGGCTCTATCGCACGGAATCGATATGATATTTGGCATCAGCGGGTCGAATAACCCCCCTATACCGAGTTTGAGCGAAATCCAGATTTTTAATTTTTGGGGTCGGTATACTGGAATAGCGTCAAAGAATGTTTGATTTGCGAACATGAAAGAACATGTTCAGGTTTGTTTAGACAATATTGCAAAGCGGTTTCGACCTCTTATTGTTAATCGCAGAATGTACATATCCTTATATCATCCCATATGTCTTCCCTCAACATGACGTGGATTACGTGGCTTGATGAGGCGCCGGCTCGCCTCGGGCTTGCGCCACGTTGCGAGCGCATCATTTGGCGCGACGTGGCGCTCAACACAACGTGGCGCAGGGTTTTTTCCACGTTCTTCTTGTTGCCACATCACGCCGAAAATGCGCACGCAACGTGGCGCAAGCCCGAGGCGAGGCGGCGCCTCATCAAGCCACGTAATCCACGTCATGTTGAGGGAAGACATATGGGATGATGTCGAGGGTACATATCGTTCGCTCCACAGTTCGTGCTACCCTTGGTCTGTGTCACAGCCACACCTGCCACGTGTGGCTATTAACATGTTGGCAACGTGGCAACAACCTGTTTGCAACATGCCCCAACATGTTGGCAAAACATTTTGGCCACGCTAACATGTTGCTGCATGTTGCCAACGTGTTGCTGCCAACGTTGCCAATGTATTAGTCACACTGGCACGTCCGCGACGCCACAAGGGTAGCACGAGCTGTGGAGGGGACGATACCTTGTTTTGCATCCGTTTTTTATGGAGAAAGAGTGCGAGAGAGGTGTGTATTGCGCGTCACTCTTTCCCCGTGCACTCTCGCCTTTTGCTTTCTCTGCGCTTCTTTCGGTCATGAAGTATATTCAATGGACGCAACAGCGTTGCTCTCCGTGCGCAGCGCAGACGGCCTATATCATCTATTTTATGACTAGGAGACGCGGGACCGCATTGCGGACACTATCTCAACAAGTTTGAGCTCAAAGAGTGAATGAATCTGAACGAGATTAGTAACAAGTATAAACCTGCTAAGTACACGATTAGGCCTGTTTGGACATTGGGTGCAATGCGGTCTCGCGTCTCCTAGTCATAGAATGAATGATATGTGGAATTTAAACAACAATATATATTTCCAAAGTCACACGAAGGGGCGATGTGTGTCGAAAGTTTATGTCTGTCGTCAGATGGGTGAATGTTAGTAAAAATTCTGCTTCTATGACTTCTCTAAACTACCAGAATTTCGGATGGCTCAACTTGGTTTCTGCTCATATCAGTTCTCACTTGGAGCTTGGAGGCACTGCTCACCCAAATCGGCGAGATTTTGAAGTATAATAGCGGTACTCCTTACTAGGTAACTGCTTGAGCCCCACTGCCAAAGATAGAAGCGAGAAAAAAATAGTCGCTGGTTGTAGTTGCTGTCGAAGTCTGTACGGCCATCCAAGGTGGTCTAAAAGTAATGAACCGAAACTGAACTTTGGGGCGTTCAAATGTGGGATGTATTTCTCATAACGGAATGCGGATTCTCGAAATTTTTAGTTATATTGAGTCTGGTTTTGGGTTTACTTTAGAACATCCACGTTGATGAGCGTGTCGACCACAGCACCATCCATCCACTTCCTGGAGGGATTGACTCGCTTCGAAATGCCCCCTTTGTACTGCATCAAAATCTCACCAATCTTCGATTGGTGGCTGGTGCCTCCAAAACTTTAGAGGATTAATTGAGAGATTTTCAAATGGGAACCGCTCAATAGACCGTTAAGATTTTATTTTGGATCCAAATTTTCTGTGTTTTGAAAAAGTTAGGTTTTCGACCTGTTTGCTCTATCTCCTATTTTCCTGTCATGTGCTTTTCTAGAATCTCGACTGCTTTCCAAAAACATTTCATATGACCTTATAAGGAAAGCCTAACTTAGCTCGGCCTTTTGATAGAAGGCATATATATTCTAATCAGCTTCACACGCTGATTCCAAATATGCTATTCCTAGCTGCCACACACCATTCCGAAGCGAGTTATGGGCTTTTTCCTACGCAAAATTGACATACTACTGAACATGAGAAGACTACCTGTAGATAAAAATCTGCAGGAGAAAGGTGCAGGGGTATTGAAATAGTACGATTCAATGTATTCCTCAAAAAGAGCTTAACGCAGGTGTATCAGCACTTAAATGATGATGACGTGATGCCCGTGAGTCGATGAGCATGCCATTTTGCGCAGGAAAAAGCCCATAACTTGCTTCGGAATGGGGCTTGACAGCTAGGAATAGCATATTTGGAACTAGCCGGCTTACCCGGCTCCGCCGTATGCTCCGAATAGAAAATTCCATTTCTTAACCGATCCGGGCCAAACTTGGCACACTTACACTTCGGGCCCCGGTAGGTGTCACAGTCCACTCTTCGTTATTGATCGATGTCGACTTTATCGATTTTTTGTAAAATTTGAGCTAGGGGGCTGGGATTTGGCACAGGGAGGTAATCGAGCATGCTGATTACGAATACAATATTAGTTTTCGAAACCGTGCATTACTTTTATCGATTTTATCGATTTTTTGCAAAATTTGAGCTAGGGGGCTGATATTTGGCAGAGGGGTGTAATCGAGCATGCTGATCACCCCCACGGGGGTGATCAGCATGCTCGATTACCCCCCTGTGCCAAATCCCAGCCCCGTAGCTCAAACTTTGCAAAAAAATCGATAAAATCGATATCGATCGATGACGAAAAGTAGCCTATGACACCCGCCGGGGCCCGAAGTGTATGTGTGCCAAGTTTGGTCCGGATCGGTTCAGAAATGGAATTTTCTATTCGGAACATACGTACATACAGACAGACATGCAGACAGACAGACAGACAGACAAACAGACATTCAGCTTTATATATAAGACTAGCTGGCTTACGGCATTTGGCACAGGGGTGTAATCGAGCATGCTGATCACCCCCTTGGGGATGATCAGCATGCTCGATTACCCCTCTGTGCCAACTCCCAGCCCCCTAGCTCAAACTTTGCAAAAAAATCGATAAAATCGATAAAAGTAATCGATAATCCCGAAAACCAATATTGTATTCGGAATCCCCATGCTCGATTACCCCCCTGTGCGAACTCCCAGCCCCGTAGCTCAAACTTTGCAAAAAAATCGATAAAATCGATAAAAGTAATCGATAATCCTGAAAACCAATATTGTATTCGGAATCCCCATGCTCGATTACCCCCCTGTGCCAACTCCCAGCCCCGTAGGTGAACTCAGCAAAAAAATCGATAAAAATCGATAAAATCGATATCGATCGATGACGAAAACTAGCCTATGACACCCGCCGGGGCCCGAAGTGTATGTGTGCCAAGTTTGGTCCGGATCGGTTCAGAAATGGAATTTTCTATTCGGAACATACGTACAGACATACAGACAGACATACATACATACAAACAGACATTCAGCTTTATATATAAGAAGATAAGCGTTTGAAGCTGATTCAGACTATATATGTCCTTTGCCAAAAGGCCTAGCTAAGTTAGGTAACTTCCCTTGTCAGTTCCGTTCTCTTGCCGATTCTGCGCTCGGTCAAGGTCATCATCCTGTGAGAGGGGAAAATCATTGGGCCCATCTTGCAATCGCCCCTTTATCACTACTTCAATTTTTTGTTTGCTAGTGTTTTTTTTAAGGTGTGCTGGAATTTACTGAGAAAGTCTGAAATGAGCACAATTTGGGTGATTTCTTTCCATTTTTGTTTTCTAGAGAGTGAGAGTAGTTAAACAAGCGCCAACTCGTGAAACTGGGGCATTTTTGGATGTGTTGCATGAAAAATCGCCTCTATTTCCCCAAAAAAGCATATACTGACAGCTGTTTGACCAAGTTCGAGAACATCCTAGTAAATTACAAGAAATTGTCATGTTGCTCGCAATTTTTTCGGGCATGCCAAGTATTTAACATTGAGATTTGTGCTATGCAATCTTCAACCTGCACTTGAACGGCGATTGGGAAGTTTTGCAGGATTTTTTGTAGTTTCCATGTTTCTTGTAAAGGATCTTTCATCAGTATTTGAAGGGTAAGCGGCGATGGTGGCTTCACCCATTAACATGGGTAGTCTGAAGATAAGTATGATGAAAAATTCGGCGTCCTCAAACCTTCTGCGGACATGCGTCGAGCGCACTCTACTTCATTGTCGAAGAGGCTACTGGATGCGTGCGAGCCTATAACACTGACTTGCGGAGGCCAGCCGATTATCAGTGCTTTTATCCTCCCAGATTACTTTCGTACAATTTACCGGCCCGGAGGGTAGGGGCTGGATCGGCGCCTAGGGGCGGGATCGAACCTGAGTCCGAGCTGGTCATAGCGGCACCTCACACTACACCACTCGTCCCCATTCTGAAGTCAAGTGCAAAATCGGGCTTTGGTGTATCTAAAACTGTCGAAAATAGAGGTAGTTTAAAACCCCTTTCGGATTTATTATCTTCAGATTATCCACGTTGACGGGCGGAGCTACCACCGCCGCTTCCATCGTCTTATACGATTTTCTTGCTTCAGAAAAGGTTTTTTTTGCAGCGGGACTTGGGCGATCATTAATTAGGGCTATAGTACCGCACCGAAATCCCGCTACTTTCGAATTAAGGGGACTGCACTTGAGATTTTGGATTGACCCTGAGCATTCAGCTAACTGATAATGATTTACTGCCATCAGTCCAGTTTCTTGGATTTTATTCACAAACGTGTTCAGCAGATATGTCGTTTTATTTTTCTGAGCTTGTACAAAACCGCGCCGCAGAAGTGGATGCAACTTATTGTTAGCGTTGTCTGCGCTTAGTCATCATCCATGCACGCAACTCACTTGAGTGGTTGAACGGAACTTACCTATCCCGAAAGACTCGCTGCCACGTAGTTAGCAGAGTTTAGAAGGGTCATGCATTGGCAGCAAAACTGATTCGCACTCAGTTTGCGAAGACGAGCTGATTCTGCATGCAGTAACTCCGCCATCATCCTACAGATCATGAAGCCGGGATTTTATCGAGATCCGAGTTCAAAGTTCAGTAGTGAAGTCCAATCAGGATAAAATTCTGTAGTGTGGATAATCTGTCATGCTGTTCCGAATATGATAGTGGTTTTGCTTGAAACTTTTGAGATTTTTGTTTTTTCAAATTTTCATTTTTTTTTCATAAAACTCAGTGATATTGATACTTACAATAGGGGAGTTTTTTCGATTTCAAAAGTCGATAAAATTTCAAAGTAAGCATAATCAACAGCATATTTGGAAACAGCATCATAGAAGACCTCTAGATAGCAATTTCAAAAATTTTGCTGGGAAAATTTGTGAAAAAACAAGTTCAAATTTCAAATAAATGTGAACTCCAAAGTTCCAAGCAAAACCACCATCATATTCGAAAAGAGCTGACAGAAACCCCCCCCCCCCCACTACAGAATTTTATCCTGATTGGTTCAAATTTCGATAAAGTCCCGGCTTGTACGATAGTGGCGGAGTAACCGTAAGCAGAATCAGCTTCTTCTATGCAAACTGGGTGCAAATCAGCGTTACTGCCAGTTCAAGGCCCTTCATGAACTCTGCTAACTACGTGACGGCGAATCTTTCGGAGTAGGTAAGTTCCGTTTCCTTACTTAAGTGGGCTGATCTTGCGGGCAAATGCTTCTTATCGATCTTGGATAGATATCCCAAAGCTCAAATTATAAAGATTTTTTTCGATACTTTTTTGAATCATTCTTTTCCTTTGAGGATTGATTTTGTATCTCACTCTCCTTTATCATAATTACCAGTGCGTCACCTCCGCTTCGCGGAGGTTCGCACTGGCTCCCTATCCGTATGCCTTTCTCATGTTTGCATGAGAATGGCTTTGAAACTCACCACGCGATAATGAGCATCACAAATGAATCGTAAACAACTGTTCATTCATGAAGCATCTCTATGTAAGATCGGTAATTTTGAGAAAAAAAACTTTGTTGCAAGGAAACAAATGCGAATTGAACAGATTACTGAATTTATCTTAGTTTGGTAATCGTCATTAGGATAATAGTCACCTTGGGCTACATTTCAGTGCAAAAATCTTTCAGTTTTCCAAATAAAACCTTGCCAAATCGACTAAAGTGCGGTTCATAATTATACGAACACCCCAAATTTTGAAAGTTTTTGGACTTTTTGGAAGAAACTCAAAAAGCCGTTGGTACCACGCGAAAGAGCACAGCCGAAAACGGTATATGATCCATAAGAATGGAAATGGATGTCAGTCTTAGGAACGTTTCTGCGCCTAATGCGAATTTTTAGCGGTTCATAGTTATACGAACACCTCAAACAAAGATCCATTTTTCATTCAAGATTGCAATCATTCGAGTCCAATTTTTTTGTAGAGTTACAGGAACAAAGTCTGACATATCTGCTACACACTGAACCCAGTGCAGCTCAAAAAGAGGATCGCTACTTTTTTCAGGTGGCTCTAAATGCTTTTGGAGTGATTGCGCTCCAAAAACATGCGTTCTTCTATGGTGTACGCACTCTAACTACCTTGTATTAAGGCTATGAGATAAAATAAGTTTTTTCGATAGATATTTTGTTTGACGCTTGGAAAATCTATGCGTTTTCGTGCCGTTTTTCAACCAAGTTCCAACCTTACCCTAGAGTTAGCACGATTTCGAGCTTCAAAACCCAGCTTCTGAAGAAGGACAATGAAGCAAGCAGATAGTGTTTAGAAGTTCACAAGACTGTGTGTTTGGCTAGAAAAAATCAGCAGCGTTGACGTTTGTTTTGGCCACGCAGACGTCATTTCACCGAAACCACTGTTTTTACCATTGCAATCACAACTGTAATTGGTTTGTTGCTCCATATCTTCAAGATCAGTTCTACAAAAAACACAAAAACGCTGGCACGGATACATCATCATGCAAAGAATACAGCTACTTCATATCAAATGTTGGCGCGAGAGAGAAGCTGAGTTTTGAGGCTCGAAATCGTGCTAAGTCTAGGGCAAAGTTGGAACTTGGTTGAAAAACGGCACGAAAACGCAAAGATTTTCCAAGCGTCAAACAAAATATCCATCGAAAGAACTTATTTTATCTCATAGCCTTGACACAAGCTAGTTAGAGTGCGTAAACCACAGAAGAACGCATGTTTTTGGAGCGCAATCACTCCAAAAGCATTTAGAGCCACCTGAAAAAAGTAGCGATCCTCTTTTTGTGCTGCACTGGGTTCAGTGTGCAGCAGATATGTCAGACTTTGTTACTGTAACTCTACAAAAAATTTGGACTCGAATGTTTGCAATCCTGAATGAAAAATGGACCTTTGTTCAAGGTGTTCGTATAATTATGAACCGCAAAAAATTCGCATTAGGCGCAGAAACGCTTCTAAGATTGACATCCTTTTCCATTCTTCTAGATTATATACCGTTTTCGGCTGTGCTCTTTCGCGTGGTACCAACCATACCTTCGATAGTCTAGAGACAGGGCGCCAAAAGTGAAGGTTGTTTGAACATCAGACGTCACAAATGGTGAAGGTTGTTCAAAGAAGATCAGAGAAGAGAATATGACGTAAAACAGACATAAAAAGCAAAAGAAACGGCTGTAAACCGGATAAAAACGCTGCAATAAGATTTGAAATCTTTCATTTGGCGGCTTTACAGAGTGCAAGTTTTCGCTCCAGGACCAGCAATTCGCAACACGGGGTTTTGATTTTTGATGCGTCCTTTGAATTTTACCCCCTCGCCGTCCCTCTTGTACCCTGCGATGTTGTCTCGATTCTTCCGCTCATCATTCTGAGCAAGTATCGTCCAAGCTGGAGAAAATTCGTTGCGAAACTACTGAAAAAGAATAATGTAAAGAAAAACGCATTTTTTAGTAATTTTCACAAAAAAAGCGGCATAAGCAAAGAAATAAGCTTGGCGACGTTGTCTACATTATAGACAGAAACAAGACCTATCGACTACACAAAAAAACTGCGTGAAAAGAGTCAAACTAGGAGAAAAACGAGAGATTTTCAAAAACAAGGTTTTTGCCGGATTTCTTGTTTAAATCATAAAACGGAGTCCTGCGACGTTGTCAGCGTGAAAATAGAGATCAAGAGCTTCAAAATGATATATAGCTTGCTAAAATTGGGTTCGAAACAGCGAAGAAAAGGGTACCAGAGCCAAATGCCCCGCGCCCCGCGCTTGGGGTAGCGAGGTAGCGCGCAGCGCGCGGAGACGCAGACGAGCAGCGGAGAGAGACCAGAGCCGGCGGGGCATTTGGCTCTGGTCATTGATCTCCGCGGGGTCATAACGAAACCCTATAATATTAAATATCGTTGTGATCCTCATGACACGGCCAGGACCACTGACAACGTCGCGGGTCTTGAATCTCACTCCACAACGAGATAGACCAGCATTTATGTGGCGACTCTCTGCGCAAGATTTCAGTGCAGTTTCTCGTTTTTGTTGAACTCCAGCGGCTTTCATGAACCTCTAACGCTCAATCGCAGTCTATAGAAAGGTTAACTGATAAGTTTTATCCTAATTTCTAACTGAATTTTTGAAGAAAAACCCTCTTTTCAGCAAAAAAGGCCATGAAAACGCAATCTTTCGGTTTTTTGAGCTTTTCTTTGGATGTCACTACTATATGCCTCATTCACATTCATCCTTACATAGTTAGTCATTAGTTATGTCATAATATCCGGGGCTTCGCCCCGGATGATTTGTACTCCTCTCCAGGTGAAGGTTGTATCCTCTCATAACACTCAAAGTGAAGGTTACCAGAGTACGTGGCTCTATGTATCGAAGGTATGGTACCAACGGCTTTTTGAGTTTCTTCCAAAAAGTCCCGGAACTCCCAAAATTGGGGGTGTTCGTAAAATTATGAACCGCACTTTATCTACGCTTTCATCACTTTTTGGCGCTGTTTTCGCAGAAAAAGCAACCTTTTTGAGCATTTTTTGGGCTAGAATTCATGGCGCGCAGAGTTACTTGTCAGGAAAATCACAACTTTGCAAAAAGTCGAATTAGCGACCCAGTTTTGCGTGCCAAAAGGCGCGTGGACCCGTTTGACGCGCAAATTTTGAGGAACCCGTTTATCGAACCGGCTCGTCCTTGCGCATGGTAGGCCTACACGCTGACACGGTATGTTATGCAAAATTGCAGCCCGATAGCTTAGCTGCAGCTTCCTCTATGAATTTCGTGACAGACAGATTTTCACACAGACACACAGACAGACACACAAAAAAAAACAGACGGCCTTAGCGCGTTATTATAGTAGGATACTGATTATGTATTTTATAGCAATGGTCAACGCTTTTGAAGCTGTGAAGGGAGGCGCAGCCAAGCTCAACACTGGCTTCTATATACCTCTTATTGGTTTAGGAACTTATAAAATCACTGGAAATCAGGTAAGCATTCTGAAATACAAGACGGATAGCAAAGATTTTTTTTTTTGTTGATAGAGGAGAAAGGGGAGTAAGTACTGCTTGGAAGAGACGTTTTTGAAGGAGCAAACGCTGCAATTGCAAACGTGTATCTTAAATTTTTTTTCCTTTTTTGTGTGCCTCTCAAAAATATAAATGCCAATGTTTATAGGTGAAACCTGCTGTAGATGCTGCCTTGTCGTGTGGATACCGAATGTTTGACACTGCAAAATATTATGTGAACGAGCCTGAGCTAGGAGAAGCTTTGGAGGTAGGTTTGTGATGCGTTAAAAAGTTTCATAGGTGTTAATGGACTCCAAAATATTAGGTTGTTACATAAGTCTTGTTACACTTCAACTTCCTACGACGATAAATCGTAAACTTCATAATTTTCATAGAGCTCCAGGGTACCATTCGATAGAGCAAAGCAAGCCTCACCAGAATATATGCAAAAGGTCATACCAGCTTCGACCCACGGTAAGTTTGCATCCGGAATCTGAGTCGTACTCAAGGCTCAAAAAATTGGCGAAAGTTATCTTTGTTCAAGAAAATCCTACGGATTTCCAATTTGCTCATGCAGATTCCACACCACATCAGACACTCATATGTACCGTTCCTGTATATTTCCCTCACCTAGAAAACGAAAATTTTCATGTTTATATAAAACGAAGCTATGCTTTTTCCACTCATGTAATTGTATACTACAAGACCTTAGGAGTATAACCATGAGTTTTCAGTTTTCTACAAGCCCTAACTTGGAAATATTGATTTTAGCTTTTCTCCCTCAATGTGTTGTGTGGTGTTGTGGGTGTTGGGGTGTGTTCAATGCCAAATTCGGCAAGTTGCGGAAACTAGGGATTCTGAAAATTTACGGTTATACTTCTGAGGCTTTTAGTATACAACTACATGAATAGAAACAGTATCGTTTTCTCTTGATGAGGAAATATTACAGCAATGGTATATATGAGTGTCTGATGTGGTGTGCAATCTGTGTGAGCATGTTGGAAATCTGTAGGTTTTTTTTTTTGAACAAGGATATGAATTTTTCTTGATTTTTGAGCCTTTCAGTACGACTCGGATTCCAAATGCAAACATACGGTAGATCGAATTGGTGCAAGCTTGTAGAGCTTGCTTTGCTCTATCAAATGTTACCCTGGAGCCCTATCAAAGTTATGAATTGCGCGACTTATCGTCGTAAGAAATAAAAGTGTAAAAAGACTTATATGACAACCTAATATTATTAACTCATCCCGAAGGTTCTGTCGTTTCATTTTTGAAAGTTTTTCTTCGCAGTTCTATTGTTTCAATGAAAACTTGTGACTTTCACTATCTTGATGTGCCTCTGTAATTCTTAAAAAGAAGAGGTCTCCTTTTTGTGGATGTATCTTGGTAAGCTTTTACTATGCACTCATTGCAGAGATTAAATTGAAAAAAGAGAGGACTATTAAAGCTTCGATCTTTATAAGGCAGGTCGCAAGGGTCTCGAATGTTGCGGAAATATCTGAAATCGTCAATCCAAGTTTCGTGACCTACCCTTTGTGACTGAAAATAACTTCTGCTGTTTGTGTTTCCGAGAGTGAATCGAAAGTGACAAATCAACTAATTTTGGCGGTTCTGTTGTAAATTCGAAATTCATAACTTTTCACAGAAACGTTCAAACAGCACGATCTTTTCTTAGTTACAAAAAATTGGTTATGAAACTTATGCACTGAAGATCTCAGATTTCTTCCACAACGTTCCAGGCTTTTTGCGACCAGCTTAAAATGATCGAAGCATAAACGATCTTCTTTTCTTATTTTGCGATGTGCGATGAGTGCACTGTAGAAGCTCTCAGAATACATGGGACTTTTTCTTCGCAATGAGATTACGAAGAAGCAAATCCGTAAAAATAGCGAAAAGAGTTACAATTTTTTCCAAAATGAAACGACAGAACTTTCGGGACAATCTATATCGCAAAATTTTGGTAGACAGCTATCGTCTCTCATATAACAAGTTTTAAAGTAGTCCCTTTAGGAGCTACTCCCTAAGTATAACCTCAAACGGTCTGATATTTTCATCACTACCAAGTTTTTCCCTGATGCCAACGATACCGCCGCAGCTGCGAGAAAACTTGTTGGAGAATCTCTGAGTAATCTGAAGACGAAGTACGCGGTGAAAAGTGGTAAGCAGTTGTTTGTAGAAACCGAGCTAACTTTTGTGTTCAGGTATCTTGATATGGTACTGATTCATTACCCAAAAGCATCGGAACTGGATGAGAAAGACGAGAGAAACCCACTTCATCGTAAACTAACTTACATAGAGCTGGAAAAGCTCAAAGGTATGGTAGAACAGCTTTTCCTGTATATAATAACAAATAAATAGCAATAAATATAATAGCAGTCTACTCTGAAAAGCGCTTCCAGATGAAGGACTGATCAGATCAGTTGGTGTTTCGAATTACGAGTCACGGCACATTGAGGAAATCAAACAATATGGGAAGGTAAAGTCAAGATCTCATGTATCAATGGTTGGCGGCTGAAAGGCGACCGTTGCTCTCACGACGCACGCTACGTCTCTCTCGCGCGCGTGCTCTCTAACCTTGATCAGGCCTCCGAGCCCCACCTTCCAGTCGCCAATGTTATTGAATCAAAGAGTAAATAAAGTCATATCTGATCGATGACGAAGGCGGTCGCCCAAATAAGCTGAGCGCGTGCGAGACTAGTGAAGCGCGCGCATGCGCAGAAAACAAGGCATACAGGAGAAAAGTAAATTGGGAAATGATGTGCGATCAAAATGAAGAAAGAAGAGAAAGGACAAAGAAGGGGTGACAATGTACGCACTAATACAAGCGTATTTATCCATTAGTAAACGATGATTGAAGTCATGCTCACAAAAATGATGACAAGACATGTATAGCGGGTAAAGTTTGTGAACGGTAGCTTACCTTAGAGTGAAAGCATTGAGAAGAATATAGAATATAAGACACCGTTTAAAAAAGCAGTGTTTGGACCCCAGAGCGATTGGCTAGCTACTGCGTCACGCGCTCCATGCTAACATTTTGCCCGCGCGCCGTGCGCGCCAGTCCCGCATGCGCTCAGCTTATTTGAGTGACCGCCTTCGCCGCCTTCGTCATGGATCAGATATTAGCATTGAAAAATCACATTGGCGCATGAGTTTCTGTGCGGGTTGTCAAAAAGTGAAAAGTGAAGTCACGAAACCTGATTTTGAGTTGTGATCATGGTATGGCAATCTCTTGACGGAATGGCATCAAAATGCAAGGTTGAAATTGTAGGTGATATGATTATGTCACTGAACAAAACCTTGTAGCCAAATGTGCAACGAGCTTGATGCTTTTGAGTTCCTTGAATAATTTCGAGCAACATTCCTTGGGTTCTTTGGGAGAACTTGGACCCACTAAGATTTGAAAATAATGCTTAGTCGATAAAATTTTGTGCTCATTTTAAAAGTTGGTCTGAACAAAGCTGAAGTCTGGAAATCTGAGTTCACGCTCGTTCATCAAATTTTGCATTGTAAACTGAATAATATCGATAATCTTGTGCTCAGTCAAAAGTTGGGATGACAAGCCACCATTGGAGATTCTGCAAAAAAATTGCAAAACTAGAATACAGGCCCTTTTGATCCTCTTTCAAATTTGGGAGAAGTTATGTAGAATTTTTCGAAGTTAAAGGTCATTTGCCGTTATTAGGTTTGAAAGAGAGTTCTGTAACACCATATTCAGAAAATCATAACTTCTGATTTTCTTAGTCTTTGCTTGCTTTTAAGTTTTGAAAGATTAAATCATGCTCTAATTGCAACTTTTTAATCGTACATTACATAAATAGAAGTGGTACAAGAAAATTCCAATTTTGATTCTCCTGAGTTCGGTCATAAAAAATTTTCATTGGTTTCATATGTTCTGATGAAACAAAACTTATGCTCAAACAATAAATACGGAAAAGCAAATTTGATTTTCCTTGTCATTTTTCCCGAAAATCATTACTTTCCATAAAAAGTTTAGCACAGGCTTTGCTTAGTTAGAAAATGCAGGTACATTAAGACCTTAAAGGCAGCGACTCGGCAGAATGATAACTTTGGGATATTCATTGTTCTCGGTTCTCCTGGATGAGCTAAGTCCAAGACTGTGCTGTACTAGAGGCCAGTTACGCGGTCCGCCCTCAAATAGCGCTTTTCCAGACGTGAAAAGCGCTATTTGAGGGCGGACCACGTAACTCGCCTCTAAAGCGCGACTGGCTCGTGAGTGGAGATACTGTACCACCGTCACGAGCCAGTCGCGCTCTAGAGGGCAGAAGCAGTCCGCCCTCAAATAGCGCTTTTCACGTCTGAAAAAGCGGGTAATTGATATCTTTCGAAGCTGCAAAGCACATTCTTGGATTTAGCTCATCCAGGGGAACTGAGAATGATGAATATCCCAAAGTTGTCATTCTGCCGAGCCGCTGCCTTTGATACCAATCTCGCCGATTTTTATTGCAAGTTACAGACTTTTTACGCCCAAACTGAGAAAAATCAAAATTGAAGTCATTTTCATCTACCGTTTCTGCCTATGAAATGCGTTATCAATGAGAAGCCTCTAAAGTACTTTTATGAAGAGGCCTGGTCTACTCTTCCAAAAAGGATGGATGCAAGCAAATTGATCGCTAAAATCAGAAGTTACGAATTTTTGGAAAGGTGCGACAGAATTTTCATTCCAACCTAATCTATGGAATCAAACACATTTATCTGTGAAATATCTAATTTTCTGTAGACGTAGTTTTGGTGTGTACTAGGCGGGTTGACGTAATAAAACCTCGCCATTATCGCTTTTCTCTTCCCCCCCCCCCCGCCCCCTTCCCTTCTGGTTACCGCGTTGTGCTAGTGTTTAGGGGTTGCTGCACGACGAAGACTCAACAAGCGCGAGGCGGCTTTCTTAGTTAGCCGCAGAACGCGTGAGGCGCAGGATTCACACCGATGAAGACACGCGCGCCTCGCGCCCGCCCGCTTAACTAATACTGCTTCTGCGCCTTTCGCAGCAGTAGCCTTTACATATGCGACATCAGTGCAAAAGGTCGATGGGTGGTTTTTTCGCCTTACTTTGCTGCTATTAATAGGACAACGGAAGCGCTTCGTGCATAGTGAGGTTGACGGTAAAAAAGCGAATAAATCGCATATGTTCACCCAAAACCTTTCAAATTTTCTTAGTAACAAAGTCAAACCCTCAGTTTGATTGAGGCCTCTTATTTATACCTAATCATAGATCAAAAGGTATATTCAAGATGATGCCTTGTGCCAATCAAGTCGAGTACCATCCTCATTTCACTCGAGACGAGCTTAAAGACTATTGTAAGAAAGAGGGGATATTCTTCCAGGTTTGTATCAATTTCATTTTTATTAGAAAGACTTGAAACAGATCAATCTCATAAATCTGCAGGCATTTTCATCCCTTGCTCGGCAACAACCCGAACTTATCCATGATCCGGTCGTAGTCGATTTGGCGAAGAAACACGGAATTTCCGTTCCAGTAAGGAATTTATTGCTTCTTGGATATTGCTCTTCTATAGAAGTTTCAGCTAGTACTTTTATCGTGGGCTCTGTGTCAAGGTGTGGGAATAGTGCCTAAATCGGCTACGCCGCAGAGAATCATCGATAATTTGGAGGTAATTCTTTGAAATACATTCGAAAATGGACATTGCTATCATTCCGCGAAAATTTTTAAGAGAAAATATAAAAATCGCAAGCTTTCATACTTTTGCATAACTGTTAAATGATTCTTACCAATGTCTGATTAGGTCACTACCAAAGTTTTTTCGTTCTTTTCCGCCATGTTTGAATGTATCTCACAGAAAAGCACCACGTAATTCTGCTTTGTTCCGTTTTTCTGATGAAGAACTTCGAAATCATGATTCTTGAAAGCTATTCAAGTAATTACAGATCGCACTGTGTCAATTTACATTTGCTCAAAGTTCGCCAAAGTTCCATTCTGTATGATCGCAAAGCCCACAAGCAACCATCACATAGAGAGAGCTTACTAGGCAGAAATAGAAGTATATTCCCATTTCCACCAAATTTTTGCTTTTCCATAAATTTGGAGGTTTTTCGACCGTCATGTGCGAATTCAACCTTTTTGCAGTAGCTCTAAACTGTCTATCGGCAAACCACTTCTGCTTGGGAATTGGGCATCTTCGAAAGATATTTGAAACCCATATAAGAAATTTCTGTCAAAAGCATATCAAATTTCTGAAATTCGTTTCTTCTGACACTTCTGACACTTTTGAGCTTCGTTTTCAGCTGCGATAGATGTAGATATTAGTAATTTGGTATTTGGATACACCCAAATTTTTTCTATCTCGCAAATAACAATAAAATTTGTGATCTGCCATCTCAAAACTCCTTTGAAAAAAAAACGATTTCTCACATTTGCCCAGAATGAATGGGGTTCCTCACCTTTACGCTTTACTCAAAGAGGAGCCGCAAAAGCAACGAATCTACTGGCCATTTTAATAGAACTTGGGCTTTTAAATGCTGCTTCCTTCGATCCATTGATATTTTAGGTAGCAAATGTGAAGCTGAGCGAGGACGAGATCGAGTCATTACATAAGCTCAATCGCGATCAGCATTACATTCGCTGTTACGGGTGGCGTGTTAGATAACGACTTCCTGCTTTAACTGCTCCGACATTGTCGTATTTGCAAGCGATAAAGGTTTCGTCCTACTATTGGAGGTCTTTGCACAAGTGTTCGTCTTGTACATGCAGAGTTCGTAGCAGGAACAATATATTCATGTCGTCATGTTTGTCCTTGAACAAAAAAAAAACAAATTTTCTAGGTTTTGAGCTTGCAGATAATGAGCATCCACATCGATAGTGTAGTGCTAAACACTGGACATTCGATTCCGCTGATCGGTCTTGGAACTTACAAAATCACTGGAGATTTGGTTTGATTTAATTGACACCACTTTTTTTTGAGACTATGCCACCTTCATACATCTCCCAAAAATTGCTTGATGAGCTTTTAAAAAAATCATAACTTTTTTTTGTATCTTGACTCTCCAACCTTATAGTGTGACAAGAGTTCTTTTTCTGAAGAAGAAGAAGAAAATGATTGTGGTCACAAAGAAGCATTAACAATAAAAACAGAGGGAAAATGTTTGAGCTTTTGCAGAAGACTATACCAGCTGCAGCTTTTCTAGATTTTAATGGTGAAAAACAAAGTCTTGTTTAGAGCAACAACCGGTTTTCCTACTCCTTTGACAAAACGCTTGTGTTCACATTTCCTCTTGGACGAGAAATAGAGCTTAGTATGATAATGCTACTTTCAGTTTGTGTTTTGCCAGAAAATTTTTTTTGTAGTCGTGATGTCGCTAAAGCTCTTGCCTTTTTGGCTTACCTGCTAACCAAAATAACGGAAAGCATTCTTAACGGTGCTCGATAAAACTTTGCTCTCATCGCGATGTAGTTGCAAATAGGACATATGTACAAACCTTTGATTCATATGTTCTGACCGGTTTTTTACGATTATCAAAAAATCAGCATGTGCAGGCCCTGCAACAAGGAGTTCGTAGCAAGAAGGTTGTCTAGAATGTTTTTTTTGTCAAGAACTATGTGATTTAAAGGCAGCGTCCGGGCAAAATTTCGGATGGAATTTTTTTTCGTTTACCTGGGCTTATTGGCTTATTCCTCCCGCTGATTCTGAAAATGCAGCACGAAACGCCGAAAACGGGCTTTTCCAGAAGCTCTTGATTTGAATTTTGTCGCCTGCCAAGGTTAAGACGCAGAGTCTTTGCAGGACCCTACGTCTTGACTGTGTGCGGTATGCGCACTCCGGCTTATCGAACTAACTCATCCCGGTCGTCGGGGCGTTCCGGTCGCCACCCCTGGAGAGGATTTCTCGCTTCAGAAGCAAATTGGTGCATTGCCAATTGTGCAAGAGCCTCACCATTACGCCCCTGTACTCTGCATTTTCGTATCTGCCCGGACGCTGCCTTGAATAGACCTAATATTAGATCTGGCGCATCAAATATGTGCTTTCAGAGTTGAAACAAGGTGGTAAAGCACAAAAGTTTTGACCAGAAATAATTGCCCTTGTTTCTTCCGGTCTGATATGTCTCTTTCAAAGTCTTTCGAAGTCAACGTGGAAATTTTGGAAAAATTGGGGAGATTTGGACAAAGTAGAACGATGATTCAAAATGTCTGCGATTATATAGGTTACATAATCAGATTGAGAGCACAGATGCTTGAAAGCGGAGGATGGTGGAGCGTTTCTAATTGTAAATGCAAAAAACACATCACCATATTGGATAGGTGTAGAACCTTGCAGGCACAACGAATAGCATCTGCGAGGTTTCCCCTATTTGCAAAAATATTCTACATTTTGATCTGACGGTAAGATATTAGGAAGATAAGCTACCCTAGAAATGTCGCTTCTCAAACATTAAATTGATATGTTGAGCAAAATAGTTCTCCTAAGGCTTCGGACAGGGTTCACGCGATTCGATCGTCGCGATTCAATCGCTACAAGACAAGTGTTACGGATTCATTGCATGCCGATCTTCTTGTATTTCGGTTGTGATAGTTTTCCCAACACGACTAATCGTGACTAACTATCCAACTAAGATACAAGAATATCGCATTCAACGAACTCGCAACACTTGTCTGTAGCGATTGAATCGGACGATCAAATCGCGTGAACTCGTCTGAGGCCTAAGGCCTAAGGCATATCTCACGCGATTTTAGTCGCCGCGCGATTTGGAACTGCAACGACTCTCCATAGCCGGTCGTAAACGCACTTTGCTTGGACCAGACTTGCTGCGTTTGTTACAATTTAAGCACTTTACGCACCCATGCATGTGAGAACCTCGCATGCTTAATCTCCAGACATCTGGCAAATCGCCAAGTCGCGAGGATGTGGCGATTTTGCGAAATCGCTAGAGGTATGCCTTAGGCCTAAGGGAACTAGAATCATTCCGATCACATACGAGTAATATTTTCAAGATGGTACCAGCCGTTGATGCCGCTTTAGCTGCTGGCTATAGCTTGTTCGATACGGCCAAGTTCTACTTTAATGAAGCCGAGCTTGGAGAGGCTCTTGAGGTGCAGTAACAATATCATTTTGTTAACATTCTACTCTTTACACCTCTTTACAGGTGTGCCTTCCGCAACATAATCTTCGACGGGAAGATGTCTTTATTACTACAAAACTGTATCCGACTGCTAGTAATGACTTCCTTGTAGAGATAGAGAACAATGTCGAAGACTCCCTCAATAGTCTTCGCACTGAGTAAGTGTAGGTAGGCTCCAGCTTACAGTTTAGTGAATTACAATCAGCTTTTCAGCTACATAGATTTGGTGCTTATTCATTTTCCAAAGACGAAAGAAACAGGACTGGATGATCCCAACAATGCCATCCATCGGAGGAATACTTACCTAGCTCTAGAAAAATTGAAAGGTTTCTGGATAATAGTGGCGAATCATGACACACTTTGTGATTTTTCATCAAAGTCTAAAATTCTCTCAGCAAGCATGCCTAAGTCCTTGTTGCTCTTTTCAACAAGACAGTGTTAGCATTTCTATTTAGACTAGCAAAATTCTTACAGCCTTGTTTTCTTTAAACCCTAGAATCATTTGCCAAAGCATATGCTGAAAAAAACTTCAACAAAAATGATTCATTCTTGCAAATTCAATATAGGGCAGGTCTCATCTAGGTTTTGAATAGTATTGTTTTGATTGAAGCTTGGCATTAGTCAACCCTTCAAAGAAATTGAGGTGCTAAGTTCTACTGGGTTATAAACCCGAAATTTTTGAAAAGGGGATGTGGGTCAGTCAGGCTTCCAAGATTTTTTTACAGATATACAGTTTAATCAATAAGTGTACAGATTCACATCGGTAAACTTCTAGGGACTGGTAAGATTCGTTCTGTTGGAGTATCGAACTACGAAATACACCATATGGAAGAGATTAAGGAATACGGCCAGGTTTTTGAATATCTCTCGCACAAAATTATTCTACACATCTCTCATTTCAGAACATGCCAGCTGTGAATCAAGTAGAGTACCATCCTCATTTCACGCGAAACCAGTTGAAGGACTACTGTGACAACAATGGTATTTTCTTCCAGGTAGTGTATTTTGATTCGTCTCACTTCTCCACAAAGCAGGAGAATTTATAGGCATATTCATCATTAGCACGTCAAAACGACGAGCTCCTCAAGCACGAAATCGTCTCGAAATTGGCCGAGAAATACGCCACCTCAGCACAGGTCAGTTTGATTCGTCAGAAGGTTGAAAGCAGAGCCTATGCGGAATTATTTTTGTAACTATAGTGCTTTCCAAGCCAGCCAATGTCCAAGCCAAGTAGAATTATTCTGGAACTGTTGCAACTCCAATTAATGTCAGAATACTGATAAATTCTTGTAGACCATAAATAGTTATCACAGAGATCGAGTTCCCCTTAGTCCCATATGCGCGTACATCCCCGCATGCTAAGCAGTGGCATAATATATTCTCAATACAAGTTTGCGCCGTCTTGATTTGTGATTTTTTGGCAAAAACCAATCTTTTATGGCAGTAACCTGGCACCCACTACGCTCAGATATAATAAGATAGAGGAGGAAGGAAAGGTATCTAGAGTAAGGAGAGACGCATTCCTTCTCAGATCCTCTCGCCTCCCCAGCAGGGATGTACGTTACGGGCTTTGGACACACTAGAAACTCCACTGTTGCACTAAAAAGTTCTGCTTGGACGATATTCCTTACGGGCAGTGGCAGTCCCAGGATTTCCGTTCGAAGGGGAGGGGCGTCAAAAATAAATGAAGGTGCGTGACATTAGCCACGCACTCCGAGAAAATTTTTGAGGTGCTTTTGAAAATTTCTGCAGACCAACAACCCTTGAAATCTAGAAAAAGGCTGTCCACGCGCCGAAAAAATTTTTTTACGAGGCTGATTTGAATTTTTAAAAAATTTCAAAAATTATTTTACTTTTTACAAAAACAAGCGAGTCACTTGCACATTTTTATAAATCATGTAAGTAAATTTTGAAATTTTCGCATTTTCGGGAAGGAGGGCGCCCCCCCCCCCCCACCCTCGGTCCGCCACTGCTTACGAGGAATTGTCAGAACTTAACCCAGCCATTCCCAACGAGCTATATATCATGACTCGCCTTGGAACGCTGATTTCAAATTTATGTTTATTATCTACCGAACGTCTATCTCCAAGGAGTTATGAGCGTTTGGATGTGAAATTATCCGATTAACGGATATAATTCTTTGCAAGGCAGTCTGAAAGCGCAGGATTACAGTGATCATGGTTATGACTATTCTAATTAGAAGGAAAAAGCACAATCGCCGAGAACCTAAAGTGTTTTGTAACGTCTTCCGAATTATGTGCTATAGAGTGCTATAGAGTACTGACAGTTGGAACATTCAAACGCTCGTAACTTCTTCCAAATAGTCGCTTGGCAGATTATAATCATATACCCTAATTCCCGGGGTATAAGGCGCACTCGCCGCAGCGAATAATGGCGCGAAGACGCTTTCCTAATGATTGCTCTCTGAATATAAAGCTGGAAAGGAAAAAACATTGTGCTCTGGTTATTCGTCACTGCCCATAAATCATGCCTCCATGTATCTTTTCCTCTACTCAGAATGTATATTTTGATGATATCGTTTCTACAGATGGGAAAAAGATGCTCTCAATGGTGTTTATGGTGTCTAGACGATTTTTTCTTCTGTTTCCAGTAATGTCACCGGTTTACATTTGTGCTTTCTTCGTTTCCAGTAATGCTACTGGTACTGCAACTGTCCTATCCTTTATAATGATATACTGCTGATATTTCAAAGGTTTTTGTTCAATTCTTGTCATTCTTGAAGAATTAAAGAAAGGTAGAGATTTGTTTTGAAGCAAACCACTATTGAGAGGAAAACAGCAAAAAGTGAGAGCAAAAAGCTACTGCTGGGTAAAAGAGGTTGCTGTTGGCTGCTTGTGCGGCGTCGCGCATCGCGAATGTCGTCGTACAACAGTCCGTGCGCGGTGAAAGCTGCTGCACCTTATACCCCGGAAATTAGGGTATTTGAAGTCAGCGTTTCAAGGCGAGTCCGATGATATATAGCTTGTTGGGAATGGCTCGGTCAAGTCCCGATCATATTCTGCTTAGCTCTTGATTCTGCAATATGGTCTGCGTTTAGATTATTTTGCTGTCATGGGCAATCAGCCAGGGAGTGGGTGTCATTCCAAAATCATCTCAGCCAACAAGAATAGCTGACAATCTGAAGGTAAATCTACTTAGTGCTGTCATCTCAGTTGAATCCTACCATATTCTGCGGTTACGGCAATTCCGGTTCCGTATATCCTAAAATCAAATACACACAACACAATTAGGATGTCTAGAAAGCAACAATTTGAACAGAAAACAGAAGAAAAAGCAATTGCCCAGCCGTTTGGTGACGAGATTTATCAAAAAATTCATTGCTCTTGCATATCGCAACAATTTGATTTTTTTCAAACAGTATTGGGTTCTTGAGATTACCCACTCAGAAGTTGTAAGGCTGCCTCGTTTTTCCCAAAGAGAATACCAGCTCAAGGCCTAAGGCATATCTTAGGCCTAATGGACGCCTTACTCGATTTTAGTCTCTGCGCGATTTGGTACAGTAAGAACGGTTTATAACTGATCTAAAATGCGCTCTGCTTGAGCAGGACTTGTTCCGTTTACATTAACTTACAAAAGCTATTCGCCTATGCTTTTGAGAAGAGTGCACGATATTTCTGTACAAGTGTGGCAAATCGCCAAGTCGCGCGAAGGTGGCGATTTGGCCAAATCGCGTGAAGTATGCCTTAGGCCTCAAGCGATTTCAGTCGCTGCGCGATCTTGTACTGCAACGACTCTTCATAACAGGTCATAGACGCACTTCGCTTAGGCCGGTTTGCTACAACTTACGTAATCTAAGCGCCCGTGCATCTGAGACCCCGAACATGGTTTATGTAACAATCCGGCAAATCGCCAGGTCGCGTGAATGTAGCTATTCGCGGAATCGCGGGAGGTATGCCTCAGGTCTAATCTACTTGCCTTCCTGAAGGGTGTTCGCGAAGTGCATAGCAAATGTTTAGTAAGCAGTATATTGCTTTTTCAGGCCACAGAGATTACGTTGACCGACTGTGAGATAGCTGCGCTAAAGGGACCGAACAGAAACAAAAACTATGTACGATGTGAAGGATGGCTTGTTGTCTGATAAAGCGTTTGTGTTTTAATTGATGAAAAATCAGTGAAGAAAGCATTGAAGGACTTAGTTTCAACAAGCCTTTTTGACAAAACATCAATCTACTGAAATTCTTCAATGTAACCTGCAGCGAAACCTGCCTAGTCTAATCTTTTTATAGCTAACTAGCTGGCAAACCCAGATCCGCCCGGCCTGTCAATCATATATTCGTAAAGAGCATGTTCACTTACCCCCATATGCCAGCTCCCGGCCCCGTAGCTCAACTTTTTGAAAAGTCGATAACATCTATATCGATCGATGACGAAGAGTAGCCTATGACACGCTTCCCGTCACGAAGCACATGTGTGCCAAGTTTGGTCCGGATCAATTCAAAGTAATTTTCTATTCGGAACATACGTACAGACAGACAGGCACACTCACACATACATACACAAACAGACATTCAGTTTATACATATAAGGCATACCAACCACCATCGGCCGTGGGTACCCGCGGGATGAGGCCCCGGACAGACTTCACGCGACTTAATCGTCGCGACCTAATCGCCAAGATTTTCATTCATTTTCATTTCACATTCAAAGATTTCGGACTGGAAAAGTATCACAACCGAATGCAAGTTGATCGACATGGAATGATGTTGTAACAGCTGTCTCGTCGCGATTCAATCGCGACGATCAAATCGCGTGAAGTCTGCCCGGGGCCTGAGGCTGCAAAGGCGCGACGCGAGCAGCGAAATTAGTACCCGCGCGCGAAAGCCTGCTGGTAGATTTGTGGCTAGGGTTGATTTATCGCTGTTTTCCAGAATTTCTTGGTCATTTGCAAAGAAACTTCTTTCATGTATCTGTCGAACTTCATTTCGTACTTGATTGCATGTTGGAATATCTTGTTTTCACGCCATTTAAGCAACATGAGCACTCTGAAACTTCTTTTATTCCAAATCGGTAATGGTTAATGCAGCTTTGTGTAACTGTGACTCTAATCTGACACTTTGCTTGTATCAATTTTGAGATTAGGAGACTTGAGAACGTTGCACATATTGTTTAACAAACTTGAACATGTTCCTCCATCAATCTCTAGTAGTAGACCAACCAAATGGGGCAAAAAACAATAACACTTTCTCCTCGTGCTTAAGCAAGACGTGCTCGATCTCCTCAACTCAGAATGGATGACAATTTTCTGCTGTGCATAACAAAAGATGCGCTTTGCCATCTCTGCTTGAACACTTTCATTCGAACAGCGCCACCACCTGAGATGGTTAGAAAACGTCACAAGCACGGGATCTGATGCCTAACAAGAGAATAGAAGGTAAACACGGGTAAATTAACGGCATGACTCTAGGAACAAGGTTCGCGCCCGAGTGCAATCTCCTTCGCTCGCGTCGCGCGCGCTGCCTCATCCTCTGGGTACCCATGACCGATGGTGGCTGGTATGCCCTATAAGGCTTGCGACCCTACGGGTCGTAGCAAGTGGGTGAAGACAGATACATCGAGAATCATATTTAAAACACATATCTACACTAATTTACTGGTTGTTGAAACAAGTCTTCGCGTAGCAAACTAAATGTAATTCCATCAGTAGTTCACAATCTGAAAAGAAATAAACATAAGAGATGAATCCTACTATACCATAAAAATTCTAAAGTCTGCTCTGGGAAGTCGTTAACAAGGTCTGCTCTGCAGTGCTTCGAAGTTTCCTTTCTCTAGAAACCCTGCTTGAACACTCACTTTCCGAATGGAAAAATAAGTTTTCCGCACACTTGCTCTGAAAAGCAGTCATTTACAAATTCTTGGAATCTGTGCCCGAAACGCAGATGAATCTAAGTAAGGCAAGTAAAGAACAGAAACTGAATGCTCATTTTTCTCTGGAAAAGTTCGATTTCTCACAATCTTAAAAGCAAGTTTCTATTTCTTAAAGTCTGTAAGAAAAGGCATGAGCTTTCCAAACAAGGCTCCCCTTCGAGAACGTCAAATTTTATCCCCACCCCCCCCCCCCGTCCCCTATCTTCGAGATTAAAAGTGATTAGGCTCAATTTTTCCTTATGAATACCAGGTTTTTTTCGCGGATTTGTTTGAAAGTGTGAGATTTACGATTTTCTGAATTTTGCAAAAATCAAATTTTTATCTCCCTTCGAAATCAAAATTGATAGAGTGCTCAGTTCTTTGCTGAAAAAAACAGATTTTTGAGCGCTACTACCTTCAAAGGCAGATTTGTGATGAATTTTGTTGAGATGTGAGCAAAATAGGCTGATTAGTGAGTACTTCTCAGCACTCTCCCACCTCTCATCCGAAACCGAAACTGACGTAATGCTTAGTTTTTTGCGAAAGTTTGAAATTTTTGAAAATTTGCTGGAAAAAAGATGAGTTTCTGGTGGTTTTGCTGAAATTTGTGCAGAAAAGGATGGTGAATTATTCCAGATAAGGCTCTTCTACGCGAACTTCGAGATTTATCCTCTTAGAGACCAAAATTGATGGAATGCTTCGTTTCTCGCTAAAAATATCAAACTTACTCGCAAACTTGCTGAAAAATGAGTTTTTGATAGTTTTCCTGAAAGTTTGCTTTAAGGAGATATGAACTTTCTAAAATGAGGCTGAATGGGCTATCTGTGTAGAGAGAGCGTAACGGAAAGCCGTTGAGGTGATTAGTCATATTATTATATAACCTACTCTTGCAAATGGAAATTAAGCCAGAAGAAAATTGAACAGATTGATGACTGGAGAGATTCCTACTCAGCCATTTTCACTACTATGGCACGTTGCTATCTCAACATATAGCAAGAGTAGTAACAAAATCGATAATGATAGCCGATAGGTAATCAATAATTCTGAAATCTAACGATTTCGTACTCAGCATCCTCACGCACATCCCTGTGCCAATTTAGCCGCTTAGAATCGCGCCTCGGGACCCGCCGTGCAAGCAAATCTCTCGCCGATAATGGCTATTGGCCTATCCTCTCGTCATCACTGAGCGCCGTTATATTTACTCATTCCTTCTCGTGGAATCCTTCGGCAAGTGGACCCTGCTTCATGCATGGGGTTAAGGATAGGAGGGACGCAGAAAACTCTGCCGTAGTGCTTGGAAGGATCCCGTGTATATTATAGCAAGGACACTCAGCATGCACGCGCACACCCCTGTGCCAATTTGTAGCCGCTTAGCTCGAAGCTGGAAAATTTCCGCTCTGCCCGGGACACATAGTGCAAGCAAATCTCTCGCCGACATAATGGCTACTGGCCTCTCCTCTCATCATCATTGAGCGCCGTCAATTCCGCATTCCTTTCTTTGAATCCCTTCAGCAACTGGACCCTCCTTCATGCATCAGGTTAACACGTTGACGACAGTGCCGCGCAATGGTGAGCTGCAGTCAGTCTGTCTGTCCCTGTGGACGACGCCGCGCAATGGTGCGCGGCGGCCTTAATTCATTCCTATCTGACCAATTGTCTTAGTTTGTGTTCATATAATCGACATAGGCTCAGATGTATTTTATATGATAGCCCCGCCCCTTTTGGCTTCTGACCCCGCCCACTCCTATGCCCCTCAAAGGATCCTTTTTGTGCATAAAAAGCTTTGGAGAAGTCGTAGATGAACGCAAAGACCTCACACAACTTTGATACAGGCTCCACCTCCGTCAGACAAGCTCCGCCCCTCAGTGAGGCTTCCCCCAATTTTTCATAATGACGGAAATCGCGTTCTTGAAATCTGAACAACTCCCTAAATTTTTGGTTGAGTGGGCGGAGCTTGCCACAAGGGCCGGAGCTTGCACATTTTTAATTTCATGCGTAGATGCATGCTTATATACATGTAGCCAGGCGTAGAGATGCACGGAAACGTCCTCGTCCACAGGAACAGACCTTTGAAAAATGGCTCATCGCCAACGTGTTAAGGATAGGAGGGATGCAGAAAAATCTGCCATAGCGCTTGGAAGGATCCAGTGTAATTATAATAATTTACCAGTGTATATTATAGTAAGAAAACAGTAAAAAGAAGTTTCAAGTATTATGCGGTTTCGGCAACGAGCACAGATAGAGTCTTTACTGCTGGCTGTAGCATCTTGCGTGCAAGAGCTCGAAATCAATTCTGTTTTGCTTATAAGAATTATACATCTAAAATTCGCTGCGATTACTTAGCGAAATTGCTGTGTCATAGTCCAGCAATCTCTCTGACAACACAAATTCTATCAAGTTCTGTCGTGAAAAGTGCCACATTCATTTTCACACAACCAAATGTGGGGCCCGTATGCAGAAATTCACTGGAGAGGGGAGGGCAGATGTGAGTTTCCATTTCACTCATCTTTTGAAGGCTCCTGCCCTTACCTACAAATGATAGGCAAGGCCATATGAGTCGAGCTTTTTATTTTTTGTACGATCCTTTGGGAGTTCCAGGGAAGTACGCTCTTTCTCAGAATCATTTATATTCCCACAAACTCAATAAAGCATAGTGAAGTTGTGCTGTGAATCTGATTTGATAATGATACACATACTTGTGGTAAATATTAGTGAAATCTCATAATGACGAAATTCTTTTTAGAACGACTACTCACGATTCGAGGTTCGTCATCGAATATTGAATAAATAATACCATACGCCATTTATCCCATCAAAGACATACTTAAACTACCATGAGAGATTGTCGGTCTAAAAGCACGAAACTTTTATTGGATTTAAAGCAAAAAAAGACTTTGGAAAAAAGGGCGCTCATCAGGGGTTCTTAGAGATAATACAAAACAATGAAAAACTCGGCTTATTTGGGAATGCTCCCTAAGGATGAGAAAAAACAAGGAAGCTTGTTAGGACGAGTATTCACAAACAATACTGGTTTAAGACTAAAGCGGTATCAAAATTGCCTTTCTGTCAACATGAGTTGTAACTCTGGCTATGCCTCATTTCCTAGTGAAGCGAGACCAAATACAGTCTCTAGTGCGAGATCTACTTCATGGAATCGGAGTGTCCCACACCCTATAACTCACTCTATATACCAGTGAAGGTTGGTTGCGTGCCCTAGTTCAGAACGTTGGCACTTTTCCCGACCACTTATAGCGTTATTCAGAGGAAGGACGTTGTATGCTGTAAGCACGGAATAGCATGCGAAGTTGCGAGAAAAGAAAAGGAGCAGGAAATGATTGGTGACTTTCTCTTCGTCTTAGTTCTCGGAACCTCTGTCGCAGGCCAGACATAGAGAACCTTACAGGCGAAGACAACATATCGGACCAGTACGTGAACCTCGTCGACACAAAGAGAGACGCCACTAAAACTCGAGACGAACTCATACAGTCGTTAGCAGGAAGATTGAAGTCAGTTGAAAGTATCAACGAATTGTTTGGTATAAGTCCGTGAAACTTCTTTATGCATTAACCGCGTCGTCGGCTGTAGCCTACGTAGCCTTTCGTGAGGTAGACAAATAGATACCTCCATTTAGCGTGACCTACACGGAACGCGTTGGCCCTCACATATGCACTAGCATGTGTGCAAGATTAGTGATCTGCAGAGGAAGCGCTGATCGAGGTGGTCGTTCATCACTCCTTTTTGGAGGGAGGTGGGGGTGGTGGCAGGTACAGCTCGAAACGTTGGCTGTAACTCAATATACAAATTTCGATACAGACAGAAACACACAACACGAATACCCTTAGCCCATTATCATAGGTACCATGTGACTCAAATGGATTGGCGGCTGGAAGGCGGGGCTTCATGTTTTGACTAAGGCTAGAAAATGATTAGGCTTTGGCCATACTTTGCCCGTGTTGCCGGTGTTGAAAGTGTTGCCAGTGTTGAAAGTGTTGCCGGTGTTGAAAGTGTTGAAAGTGTTGAAAGTGTTGCCAGTGTTGAAAGTGTTGAAAGTGTTGCCAGTGTTGAAAGTGGGAATCATCAGTCTTGCAGTTTCATTCTTCCTCGAACGATCTCACCGGCTGGTGAGTACGTCTGGGATGGAAATGGGAAATGAGAAATGAGACTGAAATGAAATAGGAAATGCTTTCGCAAAAGCTCCTCGAACGTACTTTTTGGAAAGTGAAGGACTTGTTCTGAATAGGCAATCTCCAACACTTGAGATGTAAGTTCTAATGAGAATGCGTGTTAGGTGTCGAATCCGGCGCTTCTGCGATTAGTGAGCAAAAGATCTTTGGGAGGTCTCGCAGCGTTCTCAAATGTTGGAGATTGCTTCTTTTAAACAAGTCCTTCACTTTCTAAAAAATTTGTTCGAGGAGCTTTTGCGAAAGCATTTCCTATTTCATTTCAGTCTCATTTTCCATTTCCCATTTCTATTCCAGACGAACTCACCAGCCGGTGAGATCGTTTGAGGAAGAATGAAACTGCAAGACTGATGATTCCCACATTCAACACCGGCAACACTTTCAACACTTTCAACACCGGCAACACTTTCAACACTGGCAACACTTTCAACACCGGTAACACGGGCAAAGTATGGCCAAAGCCTTAGAGAGCACGTTCCACAGAAAGACGCAGATTGCGTCGCGGACGCGAGCGGTCGCCTTCCAGACGCCAATCTCTGACGACGGACCGAATCCATCCCTGGGCCAATTCGGTACCTCCGGCTCTCCCCAGGCGGTACCGGTCTCGTGCCCTGGATACTGATGAATTTTGTGCCCCGAAAGTCCCCGAAAGCTCTTTCGCCCCGGAAACTCTGCGTGTTCACATCTGGCATACTAGACTAGTCCTGCGCTCCAGAAACCCTGCATTTTCACAGCTGGCATACTGTAACTAGTTCTAAATTGAGCTAGGCATACTGTAACTAGTTCTAAATTGAGCTAGGCATACTGTAACAACCCTAAGAACAAAGCCCAATTTTAACCCCTTGAAGGCAGCGGCTCGGCAGAATTTCGTTTTCCAGTTCTTCACGTTTTCGGAGCCTTCTCGCCATGAGAAATCCATATCTGGGCTTTCAGCGCATGAAAATGGCAAAAATGCGCTTTTTCTAAATCTTCCCAGGTCAGCCTTTAGTGGGCGGGGCTTGGAACGAAAAAGGCGGGCCGCGGCTTTTTTTGGCGTATCTTAACTGAATGCGGACTTAAAAAGCTTCGGAGAAAGCGCATTTTTGCATTTCCATGCGCTGAAAAGCCTAGATATGCGTTCCTCGTGGCGAGAAAGATTCGAAAAGGTGAAGAACTGGGAAACGAAATTCTGCCGGGCCGCTGCCTTTAACCCCACCAAAACTACCTCTAAACACTGTCCCCACTCTAAGCCAGCTTTTTTTTTTTCGAAAAAAAGCGGATACTCCTAGACATAACACTAATTATTCGCATTAGTAGAGTAACAGACACAAGTTCTGGTAATGAATGAGATGAAAAAAAGCACGCTGATAAAAGAAGCACTCGTTAAGGAGAAAAAAGTTGAAAGAATTCAAATGATATAAGACAAAAAATCATATATAAGAAATCGGTGTCTTAACAACAAATACAACATGGAAATAATTAGAGAAGACAATGAAGGAGGGCTTAGAAGATATTAGGCAGAAATGAACATTCAGTAACTCAGAAAAGAGTTAAAATATAAGTGAAGTTGGAGGCTGGAGAACTGGGGAGAGATCATTTTTCTTGGAGTGCAGATGCATCCTTGTGAAACAAACAGTTGAGAAACAAAGATAACGAAAGCCTAGACACATGGAAGGCACATATAATTTAAGTATATTTATACATCGATAACTCACCTTTTCCAGATGGAGTTTTAGCTCCCTTGAGAAGCACCGCGCAAGTTCAAACTATCGTAACTTAGCTCACTTCGCAAAACAAATCCCCATCTCTTCACGAACAAGCTACCAAGCGGAAACCAGCACCAGCATATGCGAGTCACACATCTGCCTATAATTACATAACATTGCGGTGGTACTACCCAACCATAAATGTGCATAGAAAAGTCTGGAGTGATAAAATTTGTTTTCGAACGCTTGAGAGACTGTAATGCCGGATAGAGTAAATTAATGAGTGCATGATCAGATAGAGGAGCAGCAAGACTGAAATTTGATGGCAGATCGCAAACTTACAAGGATTTCAAAGTGGTTTATACTTGAGAAAAAGTGAAGTAGAAGGCAAGGAGAGAGGATTCCAAAAAGTGCGGCAGTAAAGAGCCACTCCTATGAGATAAAATGAATAAAATGAAAATTAAAGGACATATATGCAAAAATATATGGAATTGTTCCAGATCAACTCCCTGATGTGAAATATCCGGGTAAGGCATCATATGCTCTCTTGTCTTTCAACTCCTTGGATCTTATACATAGCAGTCCTGCCTTAGAGCAGCGTTCCTCCACTGTCGCTGGTTTGATGATTGCATCCGCAATGTTCCACCTGAAAAAGAAGAAGGTTGAAAGCGACGTAAGAAACCAAGAACGCGGAAGAACAACACGAAAACAGAAAAAACGAGCGAAAAACGCTTAGAAGGATGAAACGAGAAGAGCGTATTTTTTGACAGCAGCGGTGCTGTACGCTTAGAAAATCCCGATGACTTCGCAAAAAGTGGCCCTTGACTTGGAAGTCCGTGTGTCATCTTTTTGTGACATCGCAAACGGACCGCTCCACGTCCCGCTCCAGCGGCAGCTCCAATGGTTAAGAGCGCGCCCCCGAAGTGCCAGAAATTCCGCTGTCTCCTAAAAGTCTTTAGCGATTGTCTGCGACCTCGTTGAATCAAAGGGTATAGACCGCTGCTTGACGAAGGCGCCATATCTTTAGGCGCGAACGCGGCTTTATTAGCCATAGAGCGCATGAGGCGCAGAATTTACGATGATGAAGATACGCGCGTGTCCGGTTTGCGCCCGCACTAATACTGCTTCTGTGCCTTCGTCATACAGCAGCCTTTAACCAGATGGCAGCCTCCGGTCTCACCCGAGAACCCAAAGCTGTTTGGTTCACAAAACTTGTGCATAATTACGCTTCTAAACTCCTTCTGCCATGCGCAAACAGTGCTTCGAGACAAACTGCGCTCCTCCCAATTTTGAGATTGAAATAAGTTCAACCACCCTTGCTCAAATGATTATGGAAAATGACTGGTTCGATTAGCTTTCATTTTCTTGAATGTAAGTAGCGAATCAATAAATCAATAAAAGGGCTTAGTGAAAAATGCAGCGAAAAATAGCGTTCGCTCTCCGCCGTAGTCGAAAACATATGTAAGCTACGCTGTATGTCGCGTATGCCGCGTAGACCGCGCAGTTTGGCCCAACCCTAATTCCTGAGGGCAAATTTTCCAGCAAGAAGATCAAATCTTATGTAAGCTACGCTGTATGTCGCGTTCCTAGCACCATGAATCAAATGCTAAAAATTGCTCATTCCAAATGCCGTGCTATATGAAATTGGTGATTTTGGACGAAAGAAATACATGCTGTGGAGAATAAATAGCTTTTTAGGCAAGCTAATAGATTGATAGTAACTTGATAGTTTTGGTTTTTCAAAGTTTTCGATGTGAAACGATCGATTTCACAGTGACGCTGCGTGCTAGAAGTTCCTACCTTGTTCTACAGTAGTGAGAAGCGATCAGTTAATTGCTCCATAGTTCAAACCTGAGAAGCCAGCTACCCAGAATGGGGCCAAAGAATTTGTGAAAGAGAGTTGTTGGCGATGTGGACCCTGAATTTTTTCATGAAGTCCTACTAACAGATATGTCCGTTTTAATTTGAGGGATAAGCAGAGTGTGCGTTGTCAACGGTCTTATCTGTAGACGAACTTAGCTAGGGCTGACTTATCAGGACGATTTATTTGCGGGGATGGATTTAAGTGAACTAGGCATGCCCGGCTTCGCCTGCACCTTGTTTTCATACTGCTCAACAAGGGCAAAATTGGTGCTTAACTCTGAAGGGTCAACTTATTTGCATTTCGGCTTTCTTCTATCTCTCCTATAAGGCGAGGCAGATACCTTTTAGACCACATCGCTATGAATTCCCGCTCACCCTATCGCGAAATGAAGATGAGTTCTACCGCTATTGTTAACAAGCTTGAAGCAGTTCGACATGCTAAGAGTTAACTTTTTTTCAAAATCGATAATCAATCGAATTAGTGGGATTCCACTGCGCATATAAACTGTTGCATGAGAAGGCGCAGTATCTTTGGGCGCAAAACGCAATGTCATTAGTCGCAGAGCGCACGCAGGATTTACAAATGAGGATACGCGTGCGCCGCGCCCGCTGCGGCCGCCGCCCCCCCCCCCCCCTTCCTCACGCCCGCTCAACTATACTGCTCGCCTTTGTCCTGCATAGCCTATTTGTGTGCAATATTTGGCGCTGACTGGTGCACACACAAAAGTTTCCACATACAATAACTAACAAATTACCAACCTCGGTTCATGCACAGATTTAGATACGTACTTCTACATCTCATATAAACAAAGCGCGAGCGCGGTCAAGCAACTTTTTCAATATTCTTACCGCTTTGCTCCAGATGTCTGATCGCTCACTTTCGCCTCACGAAGGGCTTGCTCAATCGGGAATGCCTTAGGCTTCAGGCATAGTTCACGCGATTTTGTCGCCGCGATCCCTTCCTCCCTCGACTTCGTCCTCGTCAACTTGTACCATTCCCAGAGATGGTGGATCCTGCGTGCAAATATTCACGCCGCCATAATTTGACGGTTATGTTTACGCTTTTGGTTCTCAGATCACTCGAGTGCGAGGTAAATGTGTCAAAGCTGTGCCCAGCATGCAAAATCACCCCACAAACTTTGCCCATTAGGTGCAGCCTGAACCTGCAACTGAGACAATCATCAATTTTTGGACCAAGCAATTACAAAGAACTGAAAATCCGGGAGATATCCACTAGAGATTTATCTAAAGTCCCATAGTTTCCGTCAAGAATACACACTGGAATAATTTTGAGGAAAATCGAACAGAGCATTGTAAGCATAACAATATCACCAAGTACAGCAGTTCTACATTTACTCTTTGGGATACTCAAAATGATAACCTACATATGTATAGAGGATAGTAAAAAATGGGCTTTTAACAAAGGTAATGTTGTGACTTAAAATGGATCAATATCTTATGCACAAATTTTCCACCACACTTAAATTTGATGTCAATTTGATGTCAAGTATGTTTAGAGAGCTGGAAGCTAGGAATGTGCGAAGAAAAGAAAAGAAGAGGAGCAGACGACGCAGAGCGAAAGAAGAAAGAATTAAGGAAGAGGAAAGGTGCCGAGAAATGGAGCGAGCGCGCCTGAAGTCGACGGATGAAAACATCAAGATGAAAGGGGATGAATCAGAGCAGGGGTCACGACAAAAAGCGGAAGAATTTGTGAGGAAGCAAGACGAAAGTGGAGATATGCAGGGTGACGACGATCTGGTGCGAAGACTCGAGGGAGATCAAAGTCTAGACGACGCAGAACATCAGAAACGGAGGGAGAAGAGGAGGAAATCCGAAGGTTTGCGAGGACGCAAGGGAAGTTTTGACTACGATGATAGCTCGAAGAAAGTTCGCAAGCGGGGTGAGAGCAAGCCAACCAAAGATCAGTCAAGTTCACCTTCGAGCGACAGGTAAACAGCATTGATCACTAAAGCATTTAGTTTGTAACCTCTCAATATGCAGCTGTGAAAAAAGTTATGTATGTATATTCGTAGTTACGATACATAGTTTAGCAACATAATATTCTGTCTCCGATAATATCTCACAATCAGCCAAGCGGTCGAGATGCGCTCATATTCTGCTTTGAATGACTTACGTTCGTCTTCTAATGCGTATAGGGGAAGCAGTTGTAGCTGGCGACCATTTGAGCAAGGTGCATATCATTTAGAAGAGTTCTCGTTGTTGAACTCATAAGGAAGACATTTTTGGAAGCTATGAGCATCGTATCGGAGCCCACGCAAGTTATTTTTGGCGTTCGTTGGATTCAGTGATGTTCTGTGTGTCGACATTGGAGGAAGATACACCGAGTTGTAGTTTTCCATAAGAATATATGCTTTCTACCCAAATGTTCGCTACCAACGCAAACCCACTGGGTAGGCTCAACCCACGAGATCGGTATTCACGAAGCTAGTGGGTTCGCGGACCCAGCAATGCTTTTGTGAATATCGATCCAACCCAGTGGCAATGTTTTCCCTTACCCACTGGGTTGCGGAACCCACTGGGTTCGTTGATGAATACGGCCTCAGATAAGTACTTCAAATGTATTTTCAGAGGTTTTCCCGTCAAAAAACATCCAACGTTCCGCAAGCCTGGTTCACCAAGGTTGGCTCAGTCTAAGCGATTCTTTTAAATACGCAATTTGCAGAGGATCATATACATCAGAAAGGTCAAAAGGATCGCAAAGAAAATCCAGACGCAAAGAGTAAGTTTGAAGAAAAGATTGATATTAATTGATAATCACTATCAGAAGTTCGTCGGACTTTTCCTCCTCCGTCAGTCGCGGTCTGGTTGGAGATTTGGACGTAAGCGAAGGCACAAGGAGCAGAAGGAAGAAAGAACACCGTGAAAAGAAGAAAAGGGAGCGTCGACAACCTTCAGAGACATCAGGCAGTGAACAGCAGATGTTCGAAGTAGAGTGTTTGCTTGTTATAGCATTTCTGGAAAACGCGGCGCATACAAAGTTTTAGTCCATTCGAAATATCATGCCTCGTGAAGAAGAAACTGGGCAGCAAGGCCGAGTTGATATGGAGACGTCGCAACCTCCCCCTGTTTCCGCTGGTACAGCCTCACAACAACCATTGAAAGGCATTGCCAAGTGAGGAGACAATGCGGTTGGTATAGAATAATGTATAGGTAAAATTTAGAAGCGTTTACATTGGTGTCTGCAACTTTGCAAAGGCTGAAGAGCAAGTGGAAAAGAGATCGGACTTCCGTGTCTATCACCAGGTCTTCTTGAGTTTTTTTGGACTCAATTCCAAAATTAGACACATAGCACCCTTCAGCTAGCCCATCGTCCACTGTTAGACGATCTGGAACAGGAACTACCGCTCATTGTTGTATACAAGACAGCCAACGGATCATTTAGGTTGATTGAAAGAAAGATTATGTGCTTCATTTCCATTGCTTCTATGTGCTTCTTTTAGGCACTATCCCATACGTCGCCGTAAAGTTGGAAACTCTTCTTACTTCTATGTAGATTACGGGGATCCGAAAGTGCAAGCGCATGCATCACTCGACCATTTAGTGCGATACTATCAGGTGAAAGAATCTCAAGGTAATCGCTGTTATGTCTCTATACGTTGTAGATCAATGCTCAAAGACATCCAAACAATCGCCAGTATGCTGATCAGTTCCCTTGGTGGGAAGTGCACTTGTGAGACATAGGAAATGGAACTGTGTAAAATAACTGACTTTGAGTTCACCTGCTACTTTCTCTTTCGTTTTTGTGCGAACTCATTATTTTATGTTTCTATCAATGCCCAAAGCATTACGAAATAAAGTGTCAGAAGTTGCATAGCACTTTCTCCATTTGTGCCAGATTACATGGAACTAAAGAGTAAGACAATATTCATCAAAAAATGTAAACGCAGGAAGCACCGTCGAAAATAGTGGGAAATACGCCCCCCCCCCCCTCCCCGAGAATTGGTCGCGAAATTTTTGAAACTTACCTACATGGGTTTTTGTAAATAATTGAAATAATTTTTTAAATTTTTTAAAAATTCAAATTAGCCTTATAAAAAAATTTTTCGGGGCCTGGCTGACGCCACGCCCCCCGTTGTCAATATTTTAGGGGTTGTGGACCCGCAAAAGCCTTGAGAAGCCTCCTCCCCCCCCCCAAAATTTTTTCGGAGTGCGTGGCTAACGACCACCTTTATTTGAAAAAATTTATTGCCGCGCCCCACCCGGTCCGAAATCCTGGGACCGTCACTGCTGAGTAGGGAAGACATCTAGGCGTAACACTGTCTCGAAAGGATTGGAAGTGCAGATTTCATAGCTTGTATAATTACGGGCCCCACCCGCGATTAGTGACTGGAGCAAAAATTACTATTTACGAAGCGTTAGTTCACTTCGGAGTGTACCGAGCCTCGCCTCCATTCCGAATCACCCTCCCCCCGTCTCCACTTACGTCCATAATGGAAGGCGATACTCCCCCTACTCTCACTTACAAGCTGGTAAAGGGTGAACACCCTATTGCTCCTGACGAACTTTTTCGCTGACTGCAGAGACCAAATTATCACCTGTATCACCTGTATCCCAGTGATCATCATGTTGCACGGGCGGGTACCAGTGATGCCTTTATTCGTCCCTGTCTCGGGCGATTGTTGACCGGTGTTTACGTATCGCACCAGGAACACGTGAAATGCTCTGAAGGGCTTCATAACAGGACTTTGTAACATATCTTCGCTCTCTTTGGAGGCGCGCATGCAGCGCAGAATATTAGCGGCGCTAATTTTCTGCGCTGTCAGAGAGCGAAGAGGTTGAAGAGAAAACAGACAAACAAGACGCAGACGTGACGCAATATTCATTTATCTATCTATTCAATACGCTACTGGCGTTCCTTACAAAAGAACAAAAAAGAACACACAGTTAGTTATGCAACCGCAATCAAAGTTCACCATGTTGTTTGGGTCCAAGTTTTAAAAATGGTTTAGGAAGTATGTGATGAATAAGCTTGTATGTAACTAACTACAGTTGTGAAAATTCAGTTGATGTGATCATGGAAATGATGCCCATGCCTCCTTTTTCGCCAGCAAAACGACCTTGAGGTATTCTAACAAGCCCAATTATGGATGGCGGATTTACTGCCTAATCCTATTACACCGGGCTGCTAGGAAGAGTCCAATGACTCGAGACTCCACTTCAATGGTAACTTGCTCATATGTAATGGAGGAGATCAAAATGAATTCTGAAAGCTACGGAGATGGTGTTTGTGCCTACTCGTTTGCCAACGAAAAGTACTGAAGTAAGCAAAGCAGGGCTCGGCTGGTAGAGTAGTAAAATCGTGGGTGTGGATGCGCATCATCCCAATCTTCGCCTGATAGATTTTGACGGACTATAAACGCCTCCTAAAGGTCCGCTTTATCCTCTCTCAAAGAAGTCATACTTCTATCTATAGTATAATTTTACGCTGCTGCTGAAGAAGGCGCGATATATTTGGGCGCGAAAGCGGCTTCATTAGTCGCAGAGAGCATGAGGCGCAGGGTTTACATTCCATGTCAATCACATGCTCCCTTTTCCGTAAATGCAGTGAGCTTCGCGCCACGTTCGCGCGCGTATGATTCGGACATTCAAGTGGGCCTTATCGATTGGAAGTCCGCATGCAGGACCCTTGCTTGCGCATGCATAGCTCCCATGCGAAAGGAAGTACGTAATTGACATCGACTGTACAACGGGGAGGATACGCGCGTGCCGCGTTTACGCCCGCTTAACTAATACTGCTTCTGCGACTTCGTCATGCAGTAGCCTTTACACTTGCAGTTATTCACCACTCAAAATCATCAATCTGGGTTCAATTTCTATGTGATCTTCAGAATATGAACGAGAGATGCAGGTTACGCAACTGCCAATATTTACCTTCTAAAAAAGCTATTCAGCGGCGCAAAAAAGCATACTGTGTCTGTTTCCCAAATCAACTGTTCGTAAACAGAAACCTCGTTGCGAAAAAAACGTTCACCAGCTAACGATGGCAAAATAGAAACTCTGTAAGTTATGAAACTTATTGAGGAACCTAACAAAACTAAATGGAGGATTAGCGTTCACGCGCTACGCAGCATCGAGGTGTGCTCAGGTCCGACACGTTTTTGGCGTCCGGAAACGAATTCCGTGACTTTGCACAATTATTCTGAAGTCCTCTTTGAGATATTGGCCCGTAGTAAAGCTTGATCAGTTGAGGTGAACTCAACTTATCCCATCAGTTAAGCTTAGGCGAGGTGAACTGACCGTCCACCTTCCCATGCTATAAGATGGTCAAGTCAACTGATAGTTGGCCATCTGTCCACCTGTTGCAGTCAACTGTTCCACATCCGTTCACGTTGAGTTGAACTGAACGTGAACGGATGTTAGAGGAATGCAAATAGCGTGTAAAAGAGGAGACGCAGGCAAGAGTTGACTGCATCTAACATAAGTTGCTCCTGAGCAACTTACGATACACACAGCTTTGCCAAAAAATGCAGAAAAAATCGGCGCAAAACTGCACAACAGCGCCCGAAAAGGAGAGGATCGATGAACAGCTGATTTTGGCGAGGATAACAAAAAACAAATTCTTTTCTTTTTTGTAAATCTTACTGGTTTTTTTTCACTAGCTGTCCAAAACAAGAACTCATTTATTCATTTTATTAAATTCACGCTGCAACCATTTCGTTTTTTCATAAATTCGTCGCAAATTGCGTTTTTGTTTTATCCGTGCATTTGCTAGGCGAAATCCCTGATAGCGGTCATCATCGATTGCGTAGTGGCCGCGGGTGGAGGACTATATGTCGCCGAAAAAGGGCGGTCCCCGCGGTCATTTGCGACAAATACGCACTCTTGTACATGCGCGGACATGCGTTCCTGCAGGGAATCCGCGCGGGACTCTTCCAAATTCGGCGACATATAGTCCTCCACCCAGTGGCCGCTATCAAAGATTGCCCAGCGATGCATCAAAATGTGGGTTGCTAGGCGGACTCGAACCACGGCCGCGCGCGTGTAATTCCAACCGCTTACCCGTTTGACCAAACTACCTCGAGTGCTTCTTTTTCAAGTACACATTTGATTGCATGCCTCGGCAGTGATCCGCATCCAAATCAATAGCTCGCCGTATGCTGGACTGAGGCGCGATGACCTCAACTCCGGTCCGCGTCGAGAGAGATGCCTTGATGGGGGGTTTACTACGGGCCATTATAAGACGGGATGGCAGCTACAGAATTGCTTAAATCAACGAGATAACCCTTCGCTGTAGAGTTGTGTTCAATGACAAGGCATCGGCGAACGAAATTCTAGCAAGGAGAAAGTTTTACTCCAGCATATCGATGAAACAAAAAACATTTATAACAATGAAATTTTTTCTGTAAGACACCTATCAAAACTTTTCAGTTTAGATCTTTTTAAGATCCAGAAAAAGAGGAGAGACAATGGCTTTGTTCGACCTCTCCATCAAATGATAGATTCTTGACTGCGCAGTAAGCCTACGCTAAATACAACAACGTTGAATCCCAACTTATGCTCCACGTACTCATTTAGAGGTTCTGACCATCAAACAGGGAATCGATTGAATCGAGAACAGGTATTACAAAACATGATTTCCGGCAAGTTTCACATAATATTGTTGTTAGAAATATTGTTTTAAAATAATTGTTACTGTGCGTTGTTAATAAGCCATTTGTTTACCGAAGCTCTAAGGGCCGCATGCATTAACATCCCCGCGGGGAGGTTAGTGCATGCGGCCCTAAGTCTGCGCTGTGTGGAGTTCCTTGCTTGTTTTTTTACTGAGATTGTGTCCGGTCGAATTTCGAAACGCCCGTCGAAGTGATTTGATCATCGTCTGACAAGCGGCTTTGAAGGGGAACGGTTAGGAGATACAATCGGCGCGGATTTTTCAAGCGATGCCATAACGCGACATCAACAGTACGTGAATCAGCACTCCTTTTGCAATTTTGCTTATAGTTCGAGCCATGTATCTGCCCTCACCCCCAATTCCTATTCCAATTCCCTGCGCAAAGACGCAGCCGCCGCGCGGGTTGGCTCCTGACGTGCAGCCACTTCAAAGGCAGCGTCGGGGAAAATTTGAATCAAATTTTTTCGCTTGCCTGGTCGTATGCTTCCTGCTAGTTCCAAAAATACAGCTTAGAGAGCACGAAAATTGTCGAAAAGGGCAGTTTTAGAATCTCCATCTTGAAATGGGACACCAGCTTTTGGACGCAGAGTCATTGTTGTCTTGACTGTGTGCAGTAAACGTACTCTGACTTGTACCTGACCGGACGCTGCCTCCAAGAGTCGTATTCCAAGTATATTGCCAAATGAATTCATTGGAATTCACAGTACCCCTACTCCTTATAGCCGTCGACTGAACATCACTCGCAAAATGGACACCTTAAATTTGTGCATCATGCATTAGTCAAAAGTTATTGCCTCCTTCATCCCCCATTTTCTCGGTCATATTAGTTGCTCTAATGAGTTACTACGGGATCGGTGAACTTCAGGTAAGCAGACGGTCTGTTAAGGGCCGGACATCATCACGCAATTTCATCGCCTCGCGATTCTCACACAACTGTCACAAGTTCACTGCATCCTTCATTTCGGTTGTAATAATAAGTAGTCGCGAATAGTCGCATCGGAAAACTATCACGGTCGAAATGCAAATCTGCATGCAGTGAACTCGTAGCAGTTATCTTGTGTGAATCACACGGCGATGAAATCGTCCGATGTATGTCCGGCCCTTTATGCTAAAACAATCATTTCAGTACTACATAAAAAAGACGGATGAAAATCTCAGAAAGGCAATACAGCTACTTTTGGCCCTGGAGCAAAAGTTAGGAGGGTGAGCTATGTATGCTTAAAAAAGCTTGACGCCTTTGTCGCACTGTTCAATATATAACATTTGCGAGTAAGTAATCGTGATGCAAGACCTACACGAAATCCCCGGGACATGAACGATTCCGGACGCGTCCTAAGCAGGGCGCAAGCTTCATTCACTCTTATTTTTGGGTCCGCGTGCTCATACATATTGATCAGCATACGTGTCTTCTTCGAATTTCTTGTAAGTTACAGGTTACTCAAAAGGAATAAATGATTGCCGACCGTGGCCTTTCGGAATGCGTCATCGTCAAAATGCTCGATTCGCAATGCCTCGATCGCTGTTCTCTCTTTCGCTGCTTCTTCCATTATTTTTCTTCTGCGAACCAGAAGAAAAATAATGCAGCGCGGGTGCACACATTACTACAAGACTGATTCTCTGTGGAGGAGCAAAAATACAAGAGTTCTTGGTTCTGTCAAATTGAGATATTGTGATCGATGAACTCAAAGCACCTAAATGGGGATCCCCATGTCTAGCGCTCGTCGACAAAACGATGTATGGGCGATTTATAGCACGCAAAGACTGCGGACCCATCAGCGTCCCCCTCTGATCAAGCGCTTTTTCGTTTCTCTTATCATCTGCTGTCTCTTCCATGCAAGAACTACTTTGGCCGGAAGCAACGGCGCTCTGTCTTTGCGTGTCATGAATCGTGTATACTTATTTTGCGTTATGACGCGCGATAACGCAAAATAAGTATACACGATTCATGATACGCACGTTAGTGCCCTTGACTTCGGCGAAGAAGGCCACAGGTTCTGCTCCGCGTTAGACCTAATTTCTTTGGCGAAACTCTGCCCACGAATCCAGCGTCAGGCTGCTGATCCAACGGAAAGCAAGCGACAAGTCGGCTGAAGAAGACACTTCGTCGCATGACAATGCTCCTTTATGTCTCATCATTATTCTCGAGTAAAAACTAGGGCGTTCCCCGGAGGCGACGCGCATTTGAGCCCGACAGATGCGAATAATAAGCGAGGGTTACCGTCCCAACAAGATGAGCGAGGACGGCTGAAGAAGCTAGCTCATCATGGAAACAAGCAACAATCCAAGTTCTCTTCTCTTCGATTGACCACCTTCAACATCGGATCTCTTACCGGGCGACATCGAGAATTGGCAGATCTTCTTGGAAGACGTAGAGTGGACATCGCTTGCATCCAAGAGATCAGATGGAAGGGTGAGAAGTCACGCGATTTAGAAAACGGCTTCAAGCTTCTATATGAAGGAGCAAGCAGCAAAAGAAACGCAGTCGGATTAGTCATCTCCGAACGGTTAAAGGCAGTGGATCGGCAGAATGGACCCGTGACGAAACAAGGTCAGAGGTAGGAGCCCCATGATGGAACCTATGGGCCAAAGTTCGATCTTTCTCTGCCACTTCTAACTCCCGAAATCTCAAAGCGAAAGCAGCGCTCATCTCCTCTCCTCCGACCCCGCCCACCCCACGGACCGAGTGAGAAGCCCGCCGTGGCGAAGACGCAGAGTCGTTGCGGGACCCTTATGCTTATAGCATTGGGCATGCGCGCTCTGACCGTGGAAGTCACTCGTACATGGGGTGGGCGGGTTCGGAGAGGACAGGAGATAAGCGCTGCTTTCGCTTTGAAATTTCGGGGGTTAGAAGTGGCAGAGAAAGATCGAACTTTGGCCGATAGGTTCCATCATGGGGGCTCCTACCCTGTGATCTTGTTTTGCCACGGGATTCATTCTGCCGATCCACTGCCTTCAAAAGATAATATAACAAGCGTAGATCGATTGAGTGACCGGCTCATGGGCATCACGTTAGATGTGGGTGAGCGAGTTCTTCGGATATCACCGCATACGCCCCTCAAGCAGGTTGCACGGTAGAAGAGAAAGACGGCTTCTGGCAAGAACTAGATGACTACATCAGATGTGTTCCTTCAGAAGAGACGCTGCTAACTGGAGCAGATCTTAACGACCACGTCGGTGAACAGCGAAGTGGTGCGAGTAGAAGTCACGGAAATCACGGGTATGGGATTCGCAACGAAGAAGACGATCGAATTCTGGAGTTCGCTTCTGCCCATGAATTGGCGTTGGCAAACATCTACTTCATCAAGAAGAGCGATCACCTAGTAACGTATTCCAGCGGAAATCGAAAATCGCAAATAGACTCCTGGGCGGTACGACTAAAGGAGCTCAAGTACGTGAAGAACTGCAAAGTGATCCCTATAGGGATATAGCGAAGAACGCTATAGCGAAGAATGCGTACCACAATCGGCCACTGATTCTGGATCTGAATATCCCAGTCAAGAATCGAAGAAAGGCAATGACAGAGGACAGAATACGCATCAAGTGGTGGATCAAAGACGACGCGACGCTCGATCCAAAGCTGCTATGGAATCAGCTGTACCACTTCTAGAAGACGAGCCGGAGCTGTTTTGACGATTTTGAAGAAGAACGTTCATCAGATGGCAGGGAACCGCTAGGACTTACAAAACCAGGAAAGCCAAGACTTGACAAAAAAACGTGATGGTGGAATGAGGATGTTCAGGCAGTTTTCAAAAGTAAGAAGCTTGCATACCAGCTGTGGCAGAAGACAAGATTAGAAGACGATCATCAGAAATACGTGGATGCAAAAGGTGCAGCAAAAAAGAGCGTAAAAGAAGCGAAGGAAGCATAGATAGCAGACTTCTATAAGAAGCTCTACACTCGAAAACGCGAGCGTGATATCTGCCGAATTACAAGGAGGAGAGCAAAAGCCACAGAAGATACAAGCCACTTCTGCAACGTCAAAGACGAATACGGGAGAATTCTAAGAAGTCCACAGAAGATAAGCGAACGATGGAGAGCACATTTCGAGAGAATAGGCATTCTACAAGCTACAAAATGTCATCTACCATAGTAGCTGAGACGGTACAAGGACCGGTAAAAAAATCACAGAAGATGAAGTTTGCGTAGCCATAGCGAAGACGAAGAAAGGCAAAGCAACAGGCCCGGACGACATCCCCAGCGAGTTCTGGAAGAGGTACGGAGAGCTGGGATCACTTGGTTAACACAGTTTCTCAATGAGATAATCGAATCCAACATGCCGCACGACTGGTCCAGATTACAACGATTCCAGTATGGAAGAAGAAAGGGGACTTGGCCGATTGCTCCACGTATCGTCCCACACGTCTAACGAGTCACACGCTGAAGATCCTCGAACGAATACTAGAAACGAGACTCCGAAGCATCATAGAACTAGCTCCCTATCAATGTGGATTCGTGAAGGGCTGTAGCACAACAGACACCATCCATACCGCCAGAATAATGATGGAAAGAAGCAGGGAGAAACAATGTGAACTGCATTTGGCGTTTCTCGACCTGGAGAAGGCGTTCGACAAGATACCACACGACATCATATGGTGGACACTACGAAAACACAAGATGCCAGAAGAATACGTGCAATGGACGAAGATGATCTACAAGAATGCTATCAGCCACGTACAGACAACGACGGGACCGACGAAAGAATTCCAATACGTGCCGGCATACACCAGGGCTCTGTACTTTCACCGCTCCTGTTCAGCACGGTCATGGATGCAGTAGTCGAGGCTTCATACGACAACCAACCACTATAGACACTCATACGCAGATGACGTTCTCCACTGGCAAGAAGCAGAAGGGAGCTCCAGATGGAAGTGCAGAAGTGGAAGGATCAACTTGAGATGCATGGACTGAAAGTGAATACGGCGAAACGGAGTATATGAAACTGAAAACACAGACATCCGGAACAGTCCAGAACGAAGGCACGCTACTCAAGAGGACCACCTCCTTCAAGTACCTGAGAAGCCATATCTCCGCAGATGGCAACCTCCGCGATGAGATAAGCAGTAGTGTGAACGCAGCGTGGTTGAAGTGGAGAAGTAGTACAGGAGTCTTATCTGATAAGCGGATGCCAAGAAAGCTGAATTTCCTGATATATCGCACGATAGTTCGACCAACGGCGTTATACGGGGCCATGTATGTATGACGAAGAGAGGAAGATCAGTGTAATGGGAACACGGATGCTGAGGACCGCAGGAGTGACGATGCTAGACCATGTCCCGAATGACGCTTTACAAACGTAATGAAAGTGACACCCATTGTAAAGAAGATGCAAGAAAGACGTGTACAGTATGTATAGTATGGTATGGACACGTGAGACGAAGAGAAGGAAACCACATTACGAGACTGGCCATGTCAGTGGAAGTGCCATGGAAGAGACCAAGAGGAAAGCCTAAGATGAGATGGCTGGATAAGTCAAAGCAGATATTAGAGAGCTTGGTATAAGTGAAGAGCAGGCCTTGAACCGAGAAGAATGGAGAAGATCAACAAGAATGGCAAACCTCGCGTGACGGAGGGATGCAAGGATAAAAAAATCTAATGCAAAAAACAACCCGACACTGATTAATTCAGGCAGCGGCTCCGCAAACGAACATCTCAAAATTTTTAATATGGTAGGTCGCTTATATCCCAATATGATAATAGAGCTCACATCTGCACTCCCTTCCAAGAAAAGTGCCCCAAAACCGTGCTCGCAAGCCATTCTCGCCCTAACCGTGCTCGCAAGCTATTCTCGCCCTCGAACCAGCTCGCTATTTTCCTTCTATCGTCGGGGGAGGCTGCCGTGATGTTAAAACCATAAAGATCCCGCAATGACTTTGCGTCTCCTGTGTTGGCGGAAATTTTTCCACTCGTCTCCTTCGAAATGAATGGTCTCGGGAAATGCTGGTTTGCCATTCTAAGTGGGTTTTCGGGTTCACCCGCTGGATTTCCCCAGATAGAGTTTTTTCAGGAGGATCTGCCGAGCTACTGCCTTCGATTTTCTGAACAAGACTAAAAACTATCAGACAAGCGCTACTGTTACCCGCATATGATTAAATCCGGGGCGGGGACCATCCCGTGTTACCGATACGCGAATATAACCTATTTCAAATCATACGGTCCTTGAGGGGTCACACAACAAATTCATCGCGCGACGCCAACGCTCAAGG